TCGCAATAATAAACGGGGTGACAATTAAAATATTCGGGCTCCGAAATCCCCAAAATTCTACAGACGAGGCTACGTATTTACCAGAGACTCAAACAAAGAGGACCCTAAACCCAGCCAGCAGAGTGCAGATCGGCACAGACGACACTGAACTACTAGCTCGCAGAGTGCAGTTCCAGACTATTTCACTCCACCCCTCGGCAGATCCAATGGCATCCAGAGAGCTGTGAAACAGAAGAACTCAGGCTGCCTTAGGTGGCAGACCCAGCTCCAGACGCAGTCTGTTCAGCAGATACCACTGCAGCTCCGCAGGGTCACCGGCTCCCTATTCCAATTCTATATAAACGGAGCCATTTCACAAACCCGGCAAGGGTAACCCTTTGCAGCCCTTCTTCTGGCAATTATAAACGGGTGGCAATAATGAACTCCTCCGGGGGAGGGGCTCCCGATGGGAAGCCTTGCTTTTGGGAAAGCTATGAAGCCACTGGCTTTGGACAAGAAGCCAGAGGCTTTGGTATTCGAAAGCTGCAAGCTTTGGCAAGAAGCCAGGGACTCCGGATTCCAGGAACTGCAGCCGCTAAACTTGAGGTCGGTTCCTTATTCCAATTCTATATAAACGGAGCCATTTCACAAAGCCGGCAAGGGTAACCCTTTGCAGCCCTTCTTCTGGCAATTATAAACGGGGTGGCAATAATAAACTCCTCCGGGGGAGGGGCTCCCCATGGGAAGCCTTGCTTTTGGGAAAGCTATGAAGCCAGTGGCTTTGGACAAGAAGCCAGAGGCTTTGGTATTCGAGAGCTGCAGGCTTTGGCAAGAAGCCAGGGACTCCGGATTCCAGGAACTGCAGCAGCTAAACTTGAGGTCGGTTCCTTATTCCAATTCTATATAAACGGAGCCATTTCACAAACCCGGCAAGGGTAACCCTTGGCAGCCCTTCTTCTGGCAATTATAAACGGGGTGGCAATAATAAACTCATCCGGGGGAGGGGCTCCCGATGGGAAGCCTTGCGTTTGGGAAAGCTATGAAGCCAGTGGCTTTGGACAAGAAGCCAGAGGCTTTGGTATTCGAAAGCAGCAGGCTTTGGCAAGAAGCCAGGGACTCCGGATTCCAGGAACTGCAGCAGCTAAACTTGAGGTCGGTTCCTTATTCCAATTCTATATAAACGGAGCCATTTCACAAACCCGGCAAGAGTAACCCTTTGCAGCCCTTCTTCTGGCAATTATAAACGGGGTGGCAATAATAAACTCCTCCGGGGGAGGGGCTCCCCATGGGAAGCCTTGCGTTTGGGAAAGCTATGAAGCCAGTGGCTTTGGGCAAGAAGCCAGAGGCTTTGGTATTCGAGAGTTGCAGGCTTTGGCAAGAAGCCACGGACTCCGGATTCCAGGAACTGCAGCAGCTAAACTTGAGCCGGCCAGACTCCTTGCTTCAGTCCAATGGCGTCAGAGGGAGTTCAGAAGGAAAGCAGAAGGGGCGAGGGCACAGAAGCCAGAGTGCTGCGAATGCTAGAAGTTGAGACTTCACGTACTACTACTATTACTACTAAAACTACCATTACTACTATTACTACTATTACTACTATTACTACTTTTACTACTATTACTACTATTACTACTTTTACTACTTTTACTACTATTACTACTATTACTACTATTACTACTATTACTACTATTACTACTATTACTACTATTACTACTAATTACTATTACTACTAGTATACTGGGCCCGGAGAAGGCCAGAGGTTTACTATTGCCACCCTGACCCCAGACCCTGTCCCAAGAGACCCCCGCGCAAAACAACCTCAGGGGGGGGGGGTTATTAAAACCACTCCAACATTACTACTACTACCAGTACCAACCACTGCTACGATGACCGCGACTATGGGTGCGAGTGTCGCTGCTACTGCTATGTCGGCGAATACCGCTACTTCTGCTACTCGAAACAATGATACAAATGGCAACAATGCTTGGCGTTCTAATCTTTTCCGGCCGATCTTATATTATACCGTACTTCATTATAGTGTCCTATGATATAAATAGTTATAGGTATAAATATGTATATATGTATAAGTGTACATATATGTATGTGTATATATATATATATGGATATATGGATATATGGATATGCATACATATATCCATGTGTGTATATATATATATAGATAGACAGATAGATACATATATATATATATACATATGTATATATACAGATACATATACGCTTATATCACTCAAACTTTTAGCCAATGTTCTGTCATGTAGTATTCGGCTTTCATGTTGTAGTGTTTTACCTCCTGCAAGTCTACTAGACTGTGCAATATCAGACTTTCCTATACTATGCCATGTTGATCTGTACTATGCAGTACGATCCGTGCTTTTCTCTTTACTGTGCTGAATTATAACACCCTAGCCTTCTATATGTCACTGAAACTCAGTATATTGGTCTCCACCTTGACATATGAATAACAACCGCTGTAGTATGCAATATTACAATACAGCCAAATACAATATTTTCTACACGATATTTCATCCCAGTGTGGCATACAATTTGCATATAGTTTAACTTTTCAAACGCATTGTACAAAGTGCTCGTCGAGCCAGACAGCAGTCCGCCTCCAGCTTGGCCATGCAGTCGGCAAGGTCTGCTTCTGCCTGGATTGGAGATCTTGCGGGAAGCTGCTGAGCTCGAACCAGAGTAGCACCCCTCAGGCTTTGGAAGTGAAGGAAACCCAAGCATTGCCGCAGACCATTCCTGTGTCTTCCACCCTCCCATCCGCCCCCCACCCCGTCCCCCACCCGCTCCTTCCCCACACATATAGATATACATTTACATATATACATATATATATATATATATGTATTATACCTATCCCTGTACATATACATACACATATACATATACACTACATATACGTATACGTATATATGTACCTGAACCATAACAATGACAACACAAAGTAGCTCCGACAAAACTCCTTGCCTTCTGTTGCCTCTCATGGTTGTTGGTTGTCCGCCCCGTCTGTGCTTCGCATGTTCGGTTGGATAGGCATAGGAGGACAGGGCAGCTGAAGCCCTGCACAATAACACTTTTCCGCCCGACTACAGAACTCAGTCTTGTGCGAAGTGTGCTGTGATTGGCAGGCTCCGTGCTCTGAATCTCGACTCGAAGGTAAACTGAATGGACAGTCGGAAACGGGACACGACCCGCGAGTCGGAAACACGTGGAGACCTGAAGGAGAACGTTCGGGCAACAAAGGAGGGTCGAGTCGGAGACATGCGAGAGGGACTGGCGTCAGCTCGCGCTCACTCATAGGAAATCAGAGCGCAAAAGCGCAGCAAGGGCACAACTTTCACTTTGCGAATTTTCAGCAAGTAAGACTCTGCTGAATGGCTCGGACAACATCCGGAGCAACACAAAGGGAAAGCCCTGAAGGCTGCCAGCCTCGCGCAGGAGCTGCCTCTTCGGCTCCACGGCCTCTCACACACGTGCCGCTGTTCCATAGCAACAAAGAACCGTAGCAACACGGCAATCAGAAGAAAGAAACAACCGTGTAGCAGATACCGGTATGCCAGCTTTGGCTGCCATAAGTCCGTTCGTGCTCCTGACAAATGACCGCGGATTTCAAAACCTCTGATCGACATGTCCAGTAACACTATCTCCATCCAGTGCAGCCGGTGCTCGAAATAAACAATCCCATGACAAACGAAACTCGAAAATGGGGCACTCCAGAGCCTGCGTGTGTGAGAGAGTGAGACTGAGAGTGGTGCTGAGATCCAGACATTGGCTCCGAGCCCTCGAGCCCTTTAAACTGTGGCAAAGCGCACAAGCACTTTGAAGGCCATACCCTTAAGTTAAGCACGATGTTTCAACCCCTATAGTCTGATGCTGCAGCCCTGAGCTCCTTCGAGACTGTCGCCAAAGCCCAAAGTTCCTGGACCCTAGCCTTGGCCACGAAGTGGTACTTGTACATGGCACCGACCCAGAGGCAGATAGCTTCGCAGGCGATGGAGGCCTGGTTGGATGAAAGCAGCCGTCGGCTTCTGGATTTGGGCCTTCACTGTGTGAATTCGGTCTGGTTCAGGCGAATGAAGTCACGGGGTTGGGGCCGGGTAATTCTGCCTCACATGTTGCAGGAAAGCATGAGAATAGCGGCCCGTGGATTGGGCAGGGCCGGAGTCAGCAAACACAGTCAAAAACGGCGGACGCAAGTCATGAACACCACAGACACGGTCAGCAAAAACTCACGGCAACTATGGGAGGCACCCCCACAAGAAATTGCGAGGCTGCCCCTTGCCCCTCGAAAGGCGTGCTGCCAAGTGAGGGGGGCTGATTGTGGATTGGTGTTCTATGCTTAAGGGCCTGAGAATCGGCTTTCAATGCCTGGCAATATCTATCTGCCGTGGTGAAGACGGCTGTGCGTACGGCTGTGGTGGTTGTGCTGCCCAGAGGAAGCCACGACCAGTAGCCCACCAAAGGTTGGTGGTCCCACATATGATCATGCAGGTGCAGATAACTCAACACGTGCAGCAAGTCGGGCAGAACAGGTCAAGCCTTCTTGATTGCCACAGGGTCGAAGTCTTCTCTTTCCATGTAAGGCGTAATTGCCTGGAAAATGGACACGGTCTTTCTCAGCAGCTGCTCGAATCTTCATCCAAACTCACAGCAAGCCCTACGAGCGAGTGGGCAGATGCGATGGCGATTGGTTGGCATGGGCTGATATATCATGGCTCCGGTCCACGAAAACAGCATCATGTCAACGCAGCCGGCATCAAAAGTCCGGAGAGCCTGGATCACGCGATCGGGAATGTTGTCCTTGTCAGATTATTGATTATTCCAACTAGCTTGCTCCTGCAGGACCTGCATCGTCACGCCGTCTGCCATCTACGGAAACAAGCACGGGTAAATTAAGTGAAACTGCTGCAACCGATACAGTACAGCCAGCTGCTCGAATATACAGGGTGCGATGCTGCATGCGACGCGCTGAAATACGTACACAAGAGCTCCAATTAGCAATGCCCGTCGTCCTTGTCGAAGTTGAAAAGGCGATCCAGCAACGCCTTGGGATCATTCAAGATCTCCTGCACAGTGTGGCAGCATGTGACGTAGCAAGGAGCTGCAACTTGACTCCAAGCGGAGGGCACGCATGTTCAACCACGTCATAAACACTGCAGGTGCTTGTGGAATCAACGACCGCTTCAGAAGGTTGAATCTTCCGCCCGGTCGTGCTCTTCCTGTCAGCTTGAGCAGTCACTCCTTCTGGCTGGTCTCCCAGTAGTCGTCAATCTTTTTGCCGGGTGTGTTTGGATCGTTCTTCTTCACCTTGCACTACGAGTATATACGGGCAAACTGTCGTGCTCTGTACATACACATTTACAAATGTATGCTTCTTCACATAAACATGCTGACGCTCACGTGTGTCCGTGTATACATACTAGGTTTGTGTGTGCAGATTCAAGTATGTTTGTGTATATGCATAGGAATTTACCTGTAAATATATATGTATAAATGTGTATATGTATATGTATCTGCAGATGTGTATGTATATGTGTACGTATATGTATGTGCGTATGTATATGTACAAATTCGTACATCTAATGCACATATATGTACAAACTTGGTTCCCGAAGCAGCAAACGGGAAGGGTTGACAACCTCGGGAGCTGGTGTTTTGCTTTATCGTGCAAGGTTGGACGATGGGGTCGGGGCTTTTGAGGTGAGGCAACCTCCAGTCCCGCAAGAGTCTCGAGGCAGCATGCCAGGGGTCCGCACAGGCTTGAGCTGAAACCTCGATGCATCAGCTTTGGAAGGCTAGTTTGCTTCAGATTCTTGTTTTGGTATGTCGATGCGGTGCAGATTCACTACAACAGATCTCATGTTAGAGGACTACATCACACCGATGTCCTTCAGTGCTTCCCTGCAAATGGCTCCCCCCTCGACAAAGTACCTTGATCTAAATACTCTGATGCTACAGCAGGATGCCTGAGTTCGTATTTGTGACGAGGAATGACAATGACGAGAATGATTCACCGGGTTTTGCTCAGGTGGCATCTAGCTGGAGCCAATTTCCAGAGTCTCAGAAGAAGCGAGGCTAGGCAATCCTAACTGTTGACAATCTGCTGGATCTTGATACGGAAAACTGCAGCAGAGAAGTCGGCTTAAGCCTTACCGGACTGAACAGGTTTGGGCACCCCGCCCCCCCTCTTCCTCCCGCCCCCACCCGAGGCGCGGGCATGACGCAAACCGCCTCGGTGGCCAGCCGTACTCCCGCTGGTGGATTCGGCAGCACCTTGACCTGCGAGATCGGTGAAAAAGGTACTTCGGACCGTCAGTCTTCACAACCTGCTTGAATCACTACTACAGGGGCCGGAAAGGAAAACGCAGCAATAGCAGCAATAGGGTTCTAATATGACAGTCTCTTATGCGATTTCGGACCTTGTATCATTGGGGCCGTAGATGCAATGCCAACGGCTCACGAGCTATCTTTAGGGGCTTCCAGAAACCCCCTATATGCTCCTATCACTGACGGAGTATTTCGCGGACATACAAGACGGAACAAACGCGTGAACAAAATGATAGAGCAGAAACGTCATGATCAAAGAGCAGTGGAATGGTAAAGTAGGTCCTGACGCTGCAACAACCACATGAGAAAGTCAACTCAACAGTGCAAACACCATGCCCCAAAAGCCTCTTAAAGCAGGCCGATATCCTTTGGCATGCGCTATGCGGCCTGTGCGAGTGATAATTTCGTCCAGGCTGCAGAACCGAAAGACACTCGGAACACCCCGAAGCATCGAAAACCTAGTTGGTCCTACTTGTGCTACCGCCTACATAACTGAATAACTTTAACCCTCAGAAGTCATCGAACATGGTGGCAATCGGCAAGCCGAAGCCGAGCGCTGAAATGCAGGACGAAAACTAAACAGCCTTTGCCACACCACTATCTCAGACCTTGCAACCATACAGTCACAAGCCCGCGAAGACAACGGCAAACTTCAAGTTGATCGCCTCGCGAATGTGGTCGGCCTTGAGCTTCTTCAAGCATGCCACCTGAGCTTCTGAGCTTGAGTGTTGCATGTTTGCGTTTTCTTGATCGGCATTCCATACCCTCGGATCTCTGGGCTTTCAGGTCAGCTGAAGCAGCAACAGAAGTTTGGGTAGTGCTCTCAACTCGTTGAATCACATTGCACGAATATCCAAAAAACTCTTGATGTTGAGGTTCTCGTTGCGACTGCTTTGCATTCGGCCCAGCGGCCGCGAAGCTCGCTTGATCCCCAAACACCTGCACTCCAGAAATTCAGACTCCAGGCCCCGACCGCAGTATCCAGAGCTGGCAAAGCTTCGTCCAAGTCCTTCTGAGCATCGTCCTCCACCGCTCTGTTTGACGACCGTCGTGTAAGGAAGGAAACTTTGACGACGACGACAACGACGACGACAACGACCACCTCGCCCACCTCGCACCTCGACCACCACAACAACGACGACAATCGCAACAATCATCATCAACATCAGCAGCATCATCATCGCCACAGCTATCATCCGAAAAGCATTCTTCGTGAACAAACGTGGAGAAAACTAGATTGTGGTCAGGGGATAAGAGAACTTCAGCGTGATGGTGCAAAGCACCGCTGAACAGGCAATCTTCACAGCTGCACCGAACACTTAGTTCGAGATGCCGCCAAGCCTGATGTCTACATGTGCTGTTTGGTAATTCGGCATGACGAAGTCCGTCTTCTTGTCGAAGACGCCAGGTTCAGGATTCTTTCGTGTGCATGCATGCTTCGAAAAAGCACTTCCAGGAACACAGTCTTTCTGCTATGCTGCAATGAGCGCAGCAGCGTCTTGCACATGGTCTGGATTCAACAGTCTACTCTCCATCTTCTGTAGAAGTTGCTAGTCGATGTTGCTGCAGGATGCTACATTCTTTCAGAACCTTTGGCTCTGTTGTACCGCGACACCTGAACATACTTCTCATGTCCTGCCGACACTTTCTTCCTCCTTCCGACAGTCGTTCTGTGAGCTCCAGCTGCGCTCCGACACAGGAACCCCACTGCTCTGCGCAAAAGCCCGAGCCCTCAAGCATGAAGCCAACAGCTGAAAACTTGACAACACTTCCCAGCGACGCGCACTACCGGAGTGTCTCGGATTCTGTCGCTAGATGATTCCAAAACCATCAGTGTAGCTCGTCCTTGATGTTCTGGGTCGCTTGAGCCTTGTTCTTGGCCTGTCAATGTCTTTCTCAGACACGAGACATTGCAGGCAGGTAACAACTACGCGGGATCGCAGGCAGGTCGGGCAGGTTCCGTCCCGTCTTGACCATTGATCATCGTTACCGCCTTCTAAGCTTTTGCGGCGACCTCCACCGACACAACCCAGACTCCCGCAGATCCACTCGAGTGAAATATGCAAGAAAGGTTCATGCGCCGAAGTCCGAAACGAACGGTTGTAGGCTTGCTTTTGGGAGGGGAAATATTTAGGAATCTCAGAAATAGAGCCCAATATGTTGGACATCCTTTCAAGCAACGCTGCAAACAGCTTTTCGCCAGGCGCACACCCCAAGCTTTGTTTACTCACAGTTCTCTCATCGCCACCGCCACAGTCACTAAACCCGTCGAAAAACCACGGCCCATGGAGACCACGAGACTTTGAACTCGCGGAGCGCCTCTGCCTCCTCCTTCGCCACCTTCGTGGACACCTCTTGAGCGGCGGCCTTGTCCACTTCAATGACCTCAAGACCGATCAGGTACATGTGGGTCAAGGGTCCTCGGGTAGTTTTCGGAAAGTTTCAGTGAGGTGTTGCCTACAAACTTCGGATTGTGTAAGTGATGCTCAGGAGCTTCGTGACGATGGAAGGCAAGCTGAAGCGGCCAGCAGCCGCACACACAAGCATAAACCAAATTCCGCAACCTCAGACCTGAACCTGTCAACCATAATCAAGCCCCAACCGTAAATTCGCGAAGGTATGACGCCTGCCTTCATCATCTCTTCGACCATCTTCTGCGTCTGTTCGAGCTTCGGCTTCTTCCTGGAGGTGCGGCGAAGGGAGTTTTGCTGCACATGCTGCACCAGAACACGTTGACTGCTGCTGCTGCTGCTGCTGCTACGTACTACCATTACCACAACAGTAACGACCACCACCACAACACCACAACACCACCACCACCACAACACCACCACCACCACCACAACACCACCACAACACCACCACCACCACCACCACCACCACCACCACCACCACCACCACCACCACCACCACCAACAACAACAACAACAACAACAACAACAACAACAACAACAAATCGTCCTGCTGCTGCGGCTGCTGCTGTAGAAACCGACGCGACACTAAGGATAAGTGAAAACATAAACGACAACCGAACTTATGGAGGATGCCAGCATTCTTTCGTGTGTCACCACCAGCTTCGCAAGAGGGCAAGTCGTAAGTCTGTGCAAGGTAGGGGATTTGGAGCTCTGTTGCTGTGCGATGCTCTGAGAAAGGCGAACAAAGTTCCAAAGCTCAAACCAGCATTTTCAGGAGAGTTTCTACTGAAAGCTCTCATCACCTGTTTCAAAGCGAAACGTGGCGGGACGACTCCACCAGCATCTGCTGCAAGCCACTGACCTGACTTCGGCCGTTGGAACTACAGAACGGGCTCAAGGGGTGGCACCAGCGGAAACACCGGGCCAATAATCAACACCCCCGCCGCTATCATCAGAGTGACATGTCGTCCTCTACATCATAAACATCAGCAGCATCGTTTCTGATACTGTCAAACAACTGCCTATTTCATCTTCATCAACGCCATGGCCAGGGCAATCCTCATCATCAACATCATCAGCATCATCATCAGCGCTGTAAATCTCCATCCACGTCGTGGCGTTGGTGGCGGGGTGTCACGGCCGGGTGCGTCGCAGTCCAATCTCGACGGCGTTTTTCTGCGGTAACCGTGCTTCCGCAGAGCAGTGCGCATTCTGGAGTTCGCATCGTCTTCCCGCGACAGTCACGCGGCTGTCCGCCTCCTGAGATCGTCCTCCCGCCGCCGTGGTATGACGGGATGCAAATCGTGATCCCGCCCTTGTGGTGTGCATTTTGGACTCATGGGGTGGGTTGGATGCCTCAGGATAGCTGAAGGGATTATTCTTCGGTGTGTAGACGGTTGCACTGCCAGGTGCTCTTCAGCGGGTCTACGCAGTATAACTAGGCGCAAACAGGAAAATCAATCAAAGGCTTAGACTAAGATTGTAAGCTTTCAGAGCTACCGGAGCCTACAGCTGCAAAGTTGAAAGGCTCAAGAATCCAATCGAAACGACTCCTCAGTTGCAGAAGACCCAGAAGACTGACGCAATTCAGATGTCGATTATGGCCCAGTGGCTGAACCTAGCAGCAGTCCTGAAGAACATAGTAGTAGTAGTAGTAGTAGTAGTAGTAGTAGTAGTAGTAGTAGTAGTAGTAGTAGTAGTAGTAGTAGTAGTAGTAGTAGTAGTAGTAGTAGTAGTAGTAGTGTAGTAGTTAGTAGTGTAGTAGTAGTGTGTAGTTGTGTGTGTTGTTGTAGTTGTTGTTGTTGTTGTTGTTGTTGTTGTTGTTGTTGTTGTTGTTGTTGTTGTTGTTGTTGTTGTTGTTGTTGTTGTTGTTGTTGTTGTTGTTGTTGTTGTTGTTGTTGTTGTTGTTGTTGTTGTTGTTGTTTGTTGTTGTTGTTGTCAACTTCAGCAGCCAAGTCTGGCACGGCTAGGCGCATAAAGTCGAGTACCGCTACTGTGGTCACCATGTTCAGTGACAATGTTGAAACAGTTTTGGCTGATTCTCACCGTTGCCTGAACCATCCTCACGCTAAGTGCTTGTAGCAATGGTGCTGTTCCGTTTAATCTACTGCGACGACGAGTCATACAGTATCAATCCACAGAAACGATCAACGACAGAAAACCCACATTGTCGCAGTACAAAGATGCAAAGACCCACCTGCTCCTCGGCATCCCCGATCTTCTCCAAGCCAACCTGTGAATTTGGCTGGGCTTCCGAGGTTCGAAGCGGCTTTTGGGTGTGTCTGGCACTGTCCGGTCAGGTCGGTCCGGTTCGGAGTTGGGGGCAGTTCCGTTCCGAGGGCTCTGGCGGTGGCAGGAAGGCATCCGCGAGTCCGTTCTGTCCAAGATTCAGCAGAAGCAGTAAGACTGCGGTCTGCGAGAATCTCATAACATGTTTGTACTCGTTCAGGCTTTGAACGAACCAAAGCTCCGGATGCGAGCCTTGTATCTCTTCTGCTGCGTGCCCACCTGTTCGTGCCGAACTCTTGAGCTGGAAATAGCAACACGTTGGAGTTTGGGCCATCGCACAGGGACTTGTCAGGTCGTCTCCGGCAGAGGTCATCGACACATGTTAAGATCTTGAAGCCCCAGCCCTAAGGAAATCTACCTGCTTCCGCTTCATGGCCAGCACCGATATGAAGCTGGAGAGGAGCTCAAGGTAGCTGGTCGGCGTGTTGTAGACGTGTCGCCTGATGAGTGTAGGGCGTTGAGGTTTACGGCATCTACGGCTTTACCGGGCTTGAAATGCTTGGGGAGCTGCACACAGGGTAAGGAAAGTAGCTCCAAGGATCAACCTGTGAGACGATGCACAACATTTCGAAACGGGAGTGAAGTATCGAACGGCCAGTCCGAAGGATAGAGCATCGAGTCTCTTGTCGACGTACAAGAACGAGTCTTCTCAAGGTTCCAGAGAGGAGCAACAGATGAATGTAAGAGCCGGAGGAACAACTGTTCAGATAAGACGACGAGAAGAACGATCACAAGAGACAGTGCCCCAAACCACAGCAGTCTCTCTGCTCCCTCCGAAGAAGACACCATCGGAAACAAAGGTGTTGCCGAGCCCCTGGCTTGTTCTGCTCCAAGAACTTCTTGGAGGCTTGCTCCACGCTCAGATGCATCACCTGGCTTAAGTTGTGGCAGTCGCTGGGGGCCTCAAGGGATAATCTTCATGAACTTACGTGGGGGAGGGAGGTTCTTAACGGCTGAGCCTTGCAGGCCTGCAGCTTCAGGGTACCGAATGGCAGGTAAACCGCACTCTTCGGGGCAATGTCGGGCGTGAGAGAAGGGCAGCGCTCTCAAGTGGCTTTGAGAGACATTCGGCGCGCAGGAGATCCCAAGATCTGAATTTCAAATAGCCAAGGTCCTGCATCTGTGAACTGCAATCCCCACCCTAAACCTTGAAACCCGAAATGTCGAAACATCAAAAGGCTGCCTGGAAGAGCTTCACGGAGCCCTCGAAGTTAGGAAGCTGCACCTGTTGAGCAACGGATGTTGAGTTCGGGTGCCGGTTACCAGGACTTTGCGGTAAAGCTTGGAGACGAGGGTTTGACGCGTTGGTCAGGGTTTTGGGATTTCATCTTGGGATCGGGGGCTTTGGCATAATGTTGTGGTCAGCAGTGCAGCTTCTGATTCGGTTTCAGGGATGATTGGAGGTAAAAGGTCAGACTGCACAGTTGCACGGTTCGCTTCCCATGGGTTTGCTGCAGTGCGAGCCAGTTAGTGTGTACATAAGCATCACATGGTACATTACATCACTGGCTGAGTTGGCTTCGACAGACTGAACAACACGAACGTTGCCTCGTATGCGAAAAAGCATCCAATTCTCTTTACCGAAGTGTCGCTCTAGGCATGTGCAAAGACACACAGCACAGTAGCATGCGAACACCACAAACAAGAGTTGTTGGTGCGATTTGGTTGATTTGCTCCATGTGCGTTCCTTTTGGCTGTGTGTTTCGGTGATTGCATTTTGGGGTGGGGGGATCATCCTATCATTGCTGTGCATATGCCTGTCCACAGTGATTCCTCGATGCGCTGCACCGTGTTTTTGCACGGAAACCTTGCATGCATACATGCATACATGGTGGACGGGCTGAAATACTCCCGGAGAGACAGGGCACCATTGTGCATCAGAAGTAATTTCAGCGTGCAAACACACACACACACACAGCTTTAACACCAATAGTTTTCTCAAAAGTGGCCGCACTGCCTACAAACGTTCTGCAACAGCACATGCAAACCGACAACAGTGTCACCCATATTCATTGGTCTACACTAAGACTAAGACATGAAACATGCCTATTATGCAATTGGCTCATTCGTTCCATTTTTGCATACAGATACGCCGGTTTTTACAGTTAAGTGCATTCTTATCCATATGCACACACAGTGAGCACAAGACATGGGCCTGGTTCACCGTCAGTTGCTGCTGCGCGACAGAGGACAATGCCTCTGCCGGCCATTCTCTGAACCAGTTTATCGTGCAGCCTGGGCGCAGGGAACTTTAGGGCTTTGACAATACAGATCGAATCTTTGATATTATTTATAATTAAATTATATCTAGACACTCTAAAACTTGGCCTTGTGGACAACAGAGAGTCGGCCTAGGGACGAAGGATGGTCGGGGTTGGTGCAGGGCAATTGGTCTGGGCATGCCGGGGACTCAGTAGACGGGTTGCAGACTCACTGCCTTATGGCCTTCCGCTCCGGCAGTCTTGCCTCACGCCCAAGCTCAGTCGAACGAGCGGATCCTTTTTTGAGCGACGGTGTCTTTGGTCGGTGAACGGCTGAACCAAATCGAGAGCGCCAAGCGAGTCCCAGCAAGCACTGGGTAGACTTGGTGCAAGTTGGTGGGGCCTGCCGTCAGGGCACACGCTTCAGAGACGGGAGTTGGGAAGTAAGCCGTAGGAGTTTCTTTAACCCTTCAAGCCCAATCCGCGCCTGAGTCAAACAGCAGAAGTCTCCCCATCTTGGGCTCGATGAGCCTGTCCGCATCAGCGTCGTTAAAGGCGAAGGCCCCCCCGGAAAACTGCTCGCCCATGGTCGAGAGGTAGAGGATGGCGCTGACGTCGTAGTCGGGCACGTTGGCCTTGTCAATATGAGGCGCCCAATAGCCATAAGCCTGCTCTGCCCCGAGTGGGTTCTCTTCAAGGTCCTTCCTTGAAGGGGGGCTCAGCTTGGCCAGCAAGGAATCTGCCAGCTTCAAGTCCCCGTCAGACGCCTCGGAGAGGTGGACGGAGAAGCCTGCGGAGACTGCTCGCTGCAGAAACCGCTCGGCAAGGCAGGCCACTAGCTCCTGGACCGCAAGCCCAAGGAGTGCCTCGTCCGCTGCGCCGGAGGCCAAAGGAGCCAAGGAGCAGTCGGCTGTACCGGCTGAGAACAAACCCGAAGAGAAGGCCCTCTGAGCGGCCCCGTTCAGAAGACCGATCTCTGCTTCAGTGATGGCATTGTCGAAAGCCATCCTCCTGGGCGAGGTCCAGAGCTTCCCACCCTCTGGTGCGACTGCAGCAGCAGCTAACAAAGTTTCTGAGACCCGAGGATGCATGAATCTGCTTCGAATCAGACTCTGCTGCACAGCCCGGAGTGCCATGGCCCTCTTCTATTGTGTCAGCGGTCATCCGAGTAGATAAAGCCGGTGGAGACCTGTGAGGCAAATGAAGCGAAGCGTTGAGTCGTGTGAGCAACGTGAGCTTGAGAACTACTGTAGGTTGGAAACGGCTTCTGAGCCAAAAAGCTCTGCTTGCAGAGGCTTCACAAGTCCATGCAAATCTTAACAACCTCGACTGCGCTCTTTTCTGTCCCACCAGCCGGAGCCGCTCCGCAGCGAAGGCATCGACCGCCTGCACTTGATTTTCGAAGCTTAACATGTTGTATCATGTTGTAGGTTCCATGGATTCCATTGTCTCTGGCTTAGTGTTTTTGTCTCTTGCGTTCTAAACACAAATCCCGAAGGACGAGTTGGGTACTGGTGCCATGCTTGTTTGTGACGTGGTACCCTAAGACTCTACGGTGCACATCTTCTTGTCAGACGGCAGGAAGCGATGATGCATTCAGAGCCTTCCCACGCGGTGTAGGACGTGAAGATAATCTTCCAAGAATACCTTTAGCCAGTACATGGGATCGTCGCCATCCTTTGACTGCTCTATATTGTTCCAGTGAGCTCTTGGTATCATCATTTGATGCTCATTGTCATTCCCACGACCATAGAACTATGATTACTGTATCGGACCTAGTCTCGTAACAGTGCAAATCCTGAGACTGCCACTATCCTGAGAGACTCCACCGCGTACACCAAACGCCGCCACACAGCCTCGAAGATAGGCTCGGCATTGAGGATGCTGACCCAGTTGTCCTCAGACTGAGGCACCCCACTCGCACTCACGAAGCTGCTCGCATGCATAGATTCATATGCACCAACAAGACGTAACTTCTTGTTTTCTCTAGCAAAGTTGTACGCGACAACGGACATACCAGTGCTGCTGTCTACCACGTGCTGTAGGTGCGTCGGGCATGCATGATCCTGCTGAAGCTCACGGGCGCGAGGCTCACGGATGCTGTCATGGACTGAAGCTGTGCATTTCAGTATGCCTTGTTGTATGCATGGTGAAACTTGTACCTGGAGTCAGATTCTGTTTCCTGGGCTTCCCGCGGGGTCGATAAGGAGCTTTCTGTCCTGCCAACGTGTAACATACAAGTGCCCGCCCACTCTTAGCCACCTACCACACAAGAAGCTGCAGGCACCCGCAAGCACTACTACTGGCGCTGGCACCATCCCAACAGCCGGAGCAACAAGTCCAGAAGCCCAGGCCCAGCAAACCTTGCAAATCAAGCTTCCGGCTACGCAGGCTTCGTGATGGTTCCACAAGACCCTGGACAAACAAAAAAGCCATCGCCTTTCTTCTGTCTGAGCTACGGCGATGCGGGAATTGAACACTAAACGCTTCCGCATCTCTGTGGTTGTCTCACACTGCGCTGGCCCTACGCAAAGAACCCAGAGGAGCCAGGACAACGGCAAAGTCTACTTTGGACACGGAGCCCTAAAGTAGGCGAGAACCTCTGTGTGTGACTCTCTGGGTTCCTCGTCTACCTCTGCACAAAGAAACCGAAACAGCAGCTCTCGAGCGTAGAAGGCCCCGTCGCGGGGACGCTCGTGGTGGCCTTGAGGGCCAGGCCGGGATGATCGTGCTGCACCTCCAAGGGACCAATCCGAGCTGAGCTGTGCAAAACAGACCCATCTGACTACCCTCAACCTGTGTTTGCTGTCAACATACGCCGACCCAATGCGACCCGTGTCCAAAGAAAGCCTGTCGACAGTGCTGACAAAGGCACTGTGGCGAGCACTGCCTCATGCCCGAATTCGGATGAAGCCTCCTGACTCAGAGGCAGATCTTCCTCGTGGCACATCTGTATGCCCGGATCCTCTAGGTGGTTCGGCTCGTCGTGTTGGCTCGATCTGGACCCGACCTCTTCACAGCCATCTTCCTCAGCTGACATGGCTTGCGTCGTCTCTGCGGGCTCTCCTGGCTCTGGCTCCGTTCGAGGTGTTGACGGAGGTGTTGACGGTCCTGTGTGGTGCTCGGATTCGTCTGGCAAGTCTGCATTTGGACTCGGAGAACTTGCTTCGCTTGTGTCTTCTTCGACACCATCCGACGCTGCACCTTCGCCGTTTGAAGCGAGCGCATCCACAGGTGCCTCCCCCCAAGGCCGGGGTGGGTCGACTTGGACAGGCTCGGCGGGAGATTCGACCTCCAGCGTCTGCTGTGTCTCCGGGAGAGGTGCCAGTGCGGGCGCGGCCTTGGCCGGCCCTGGCTCTCCTAGGGGGAAGAGCTGCTCCTGCTCTACCTGCGTCTTTTGTGTCTCTTTTGACACCTCTCCGGGCCCTCCAATCTCAGCTCTTTCATGGGAGAAGCGGCGCAAGGGCCGAGCGGCTGCTGCCAAGAGGAGTTGATCGTCCATCTGGAGGCGCTGCGAAGCATGTTTCAACACAGCACCATTGCGAAGGACAGCTGTCATCACAAGGTCCTTGCTATCCTTCAAGCCAGCCGAAGCGAATTCCAAAGCACAAGGATCTTGGCTGCAGGCTGCAGATACGACCTCCAGATTATTCTTCAGCTCATCTCCAGCATGCTCCAAGGCAAGGCCATTCCTAACCAACAGTCGCGACTCGCAGACTTCACGAGTACATGATCACACCAGGTTTGTGAACAGACGAATCACGTATCTTTCATAAACAATGCTTGCAGCATGGGTTCTGTTGAACTGCCACCAAGACGACCTGACAGCAGGCACCGGAATCCATGTTACTGTTCCAAAGCTGTTTCCTTGAGACTTCATGCCCCGCCTCCTTGTCCTTCTGCAAGCTTTCAGCAACGAGCTCAACGGCAAGGCCATTCTCACGAAGTGCTGTCAACAGAAAACTCCTGCTTTTCTTCAAAGAAGTCGGTGCATAGCTCAAGGCGAAGGGGTTCTGACGTATTGCGGCCAAGACGACGTCTAAGTCGTTCTGCAGCTCGGATGAGGCCAGATGCAAGGACAGCCCATTTTGCTGTACTGCCCGGCGCACCACATCCTTATCCTTCTTCAGGCCCTTAGATGCATGCTCTAATGCAAGGCCATTCGTCTGCACGGCTTCCATCATGAAGCCTTTGTCCTTTTTTAACTCCTCGGCAGCATGTACAATTGCAGAGCATTCCTTGCGGAGTGCAGCCATGACGGCCTCCTGGTCTATCCTCAACTCCTTCGTTGTGGTGCCTCGGGCAAGCGGGCTCGGCTGAATTGCCGCCAAAACCACCCCCTGGTCCCTCTTCAGGTCCTTAGACAGAGAAGCCAGGGCTTGTGGGTTTTGATGGATCGCAGTGAGAGCGACCTCCTTGTCTCGCTTCAGATCTTCCGAGGCGTATTCCACTGCAATCCAGATTTGATCAATTGCTGCCATCACCACATCCTTGTCATTCCTCAGTCCATCTGAAGCATAGACCAAAGCCAAGCCATCACGGCATACAGCCGCCAGGACGACGTCCCTGTCATTTTTCAACTCATCCGATGCATACTCCAAAGCCAAGCCATCGCGTTGGACGGCTGTCGAAACGACGTCTTTGCTGCCTTTGAGAACGGGCGAGGCAGATTCCAAGGCAAAGCCAGTTCGCTGAACTGCTGCCATCACCTTGGGCTGACTTGGCTTGTAATCCTCTGTGAAAAGTTTCGTATATTCGATTCAGATTGTTTGACTGCGAACACTATTATACTATTGCATGATGTGTATAGGTTATATACTATGTACCAAACAATCTTAACCATTCCGAAAGTAGTCCCGGTCTCAAGCTCCTCGTCGTCCTTGAGGTCTGCAGAGGCGTAGCGCAAGGTAAGGCCATTCTCTTCAAGGGCCGCCATCACGACCTCCCGGTCGTTTCGGAGTTCGACTGAAGCATCACGAAGCGCACCTCGGGATTCACGAATACATCAGGAAACAGGAAGACAATGGAATGTATTAGGCATGGTCATTCAAACTCTGAAAGCACTTTAAATACACTCTTGTAGGTTGACTGCTATGCGGCTGAATTCTGGAAGCACAAGGCACTGGCATCCTGGCGAATTGCTGCAATCATGTGCTCCTTCTCCCTTCGGAACATTGCACGACTCACTGCGTAGCGGCCGTCATTGTCAGCTTGTGCAGCCGAGTCCTTGCTGGCCGGCTGAATAGCAGCGCAGCAGAGCAAAATCATACAGGCTCACTCAACGCTTAACGAAAGCTCGGGCTGTGAATGCGCCCTCTGGACCCTGTCCGAAATGACTCTGAACGCAGCAAGGTCTACGGATGCTACAGCCATGGGATCGCGGAGCAAATCCGGTTCCAGGCTTACCACCAAGTCGGCCAAGTCGGCCAAGGAGCCCAGAAGGGTTGGGAGCTCGAGTCGGCCATCGCTACGGCTGCCATGCCCACGAGGCGAATCTGCACTAAATCCAACAGACTAGATCCGTCGTCACTGTGGTCTCTAGTTCCGGTGTAGTGATCAGGATGGCATGCCTAGTGTAGGATGCGGCGGAAGCTGGCACCTCCAAAGACGATAACATATTCTTCTGAGCCAGGATGATCTGCGTCAACGAATACGTCCCGTCAGACTTCCTTTCCTGTGCGTATTTCTGGTGCCGCCGAACGGCGAGGCACGACAACCGATGGAGCGAAACCTCTGCATAGTGCCATCATGTTCAAGAAGCAAACAATTTGCAACGGCTCACGCTGCTGCGACATGTCCTCTGGCTGGAAGGACTTCTGTGCGGCTTCTGGTATCGGCAGCTTCAGCGTGCTGCGCAGCTCCTGATGTTTGGGGGACACGGAAAATGTGCTGGCTGCACTTCGATGTAAAGCAGCACAATCACAAAGCAGCTAACGTATGCACGTGAGTTACATCAAAGCACTTCTTCAAACAAACCCGGCTAGTTCGAAAGGAAAGCAGCCTAGCGGCCCTGAGGCCCTGAGGGTCACGCCCGCAAGAGCAAGGGATCTTCGGCAAGCAAATGGTGAAGCAGTGCATCCAGCCCAGGCGACAGTGTGACCTTGGATCCGCAGTGGAGGGGCTACATGCTAAGAGTTGAAGCAGCCAGTCCTGGGCAAAGGTGTTACTTTTTGGCCTCAGACCTTGTTGTCATTATTTCCCATTACTACTGTTGGTTTGATATCGCTTATTGTGGATCGCGGCGGTGGTGGTAGTGGTGGTAGTAGTATTAGCGGTAGCAATGGTAAAAGCAGCAGTAGCAAGTAGCACCACTAGCAGTGGTAGTGATAGTGGCAGTCGTGGCGGAAGTGGCAGCTGCAGGGGTTGGTGGCAGTGAAGTTGGTAGTGGTAGTTGTGGTGCGTGGGAGTAGCAGTAGCAGTAGGAGTAGGAGTAGGAGTAGTAGTAGTGATAGTAGTAGTAGTAGTAGTAGTAGTAGAAGTAGTAGTAGCAGTAGTAGTAGTAGTACTGGTAGGACTGGTAGTAGTGAGTAGTGGTAGTGGTAGTGGTGGTGGTGGTGGTGGTGGTAGTGGTAGCGGTAGTAGTGGCAATAGTACTAGTAGTACATTTCGTGCGGATAAGTACACTGCTAATCATGGTAGCGGGGGCCTGCGTGGCGTGCTCCAGGCCGCCTGGTGAGTCAGGGCTGCCGCGGCAGGAGTCCAGTGTCATCAGCCGGTGCTGGAGCCTTGGGCGACGTCTTCAGCTTTGCTTGGATAAGGCTTGCGCTGTCCTGTAGGCAGCAGCCATGAAACGCGTGTTCTTGCCGCAGGGCTGCTAGGCGTTTGGGGTCTTGCACAACATTAGATCGTGTACGCATGAATAGCTACCAAAGAGGACAGGAGCACAGAATCATTGAGTGGAGAGGTACATCTATATACATATATATATGTATACTGTGTATGTGTAGGTGTATGTGTATATATGTGTGTGTATGTACAATGCACACACATACATGTATGCACATACGTGTACATCGGCATAGACATGTTACATGATGTGCATAGGAGTCTGGCGTATTTGTCTGTGTCTATATATATATATATATACATGTGTGTACGTCTGTATGGATGTAGGTACGTATGTATGCACATATGTATGTAACTGTGTATGTGCGTGCGCATGTATTTCTGAAATGTGCTTCTATATACATACATCGTACAAAAATGCATGCATGCATGCATATCCATACATACACAGATGCACAAGTACACACTTACCCACATACCAATCGCCTACCTACCTACGTACCTCCGCTTACTACCCAGCTACCTGCTTGCCCACCCGCCCATCCGCCCTTTACCTACCCAGCTACCTACCCAGCTACCAACCCGCATTCGTACCGACATATACAAACTACATAAGACAATATACCAACATACCATGGCCTTGCATGAGAGTCCGCAACATCGCAGAATATACAAATCACCACATTGCATCTCATGACTTTACCAGTGCAGACCATTAGGGAACAAGACCTTACATAGCATTATATTAATCAAAAATATAATCATTATACACGTACCATGTATGTCTCTACGTATGTAAGCACCTATGTCATACATACGAACATGCATGTGTGATACCTACACACATCCATCCATGCATGCATACATAAGTACATGGTGCAGCACCGAAACCAACAACGATGCGAAAGAGCGCGCCGTGAATCTTAGTGCAATCAGGAGCACTGGTCATCCTGCAGACTTGCCAGTGTCCCAGACTGCACAGTTAACCGGACCGTGAACCAAGTCCGCGATAGTCGCACATCAACTTCTGTGGCTCGGGCGATAGAAAGTTTTGCAAGGCTAACTCTTGCGTCTGTGGGTGGCTTGATGACACTGTTGGCACTTGTTTGCCTTGTTTCTCTGTGCCGTGAAAGACTCTGCAGTCAAAGAGGAGGCGCAAGCAGAAGTGTGGCCAACTTTTAGAGAGCAGTGTCCGGGCAAAGAAAAAAGAAAGCAAGCAAAGCAGTTCCCATCTGAGGATCCTGCAATATAAGTCCTCCAGCACTGAGGGAAGTGGCCAGGAGCAAAGTCTGCATACTCAGCTCGCCAAGTGGCTCCTGACTTTGGAGTCAGTTGAAGGGCAGACTCATGTGCGCCATGCACGTCAAGGAGGCCGCCAAACTGCCACAAAGACCCCTATGCAGCTCCAAGACGCTCTAGGTATAGACACAAGCATCCCTAACCTCAGCTGCTCGGCCCGAACCTCAACCCTAAACTGCCTTCTTTGGCCAGACCACCCGCGAGGGAATGCGAAACCGACCTTGGGATTCCTCTCGCCGGCGCCTCGTCCGAGGCATACCTGTGAGTCCGGGAGTCCAGGGCCAAGCACCTAAGTCAAAAGGCGGTTCCCCTCCTTTCCCAGAACTCATTTGGGAACTACACTATGACGCTAAGACTTTATCGTAGTTCCCTGCTACTCTCCAAGTCGGCATCGGGGAGAAGACCCGCCAATGCAAGGTGGGAGGACGTCTCAACACTCCAAAGGAAGCACAGAAGAAGTTGCGGTGTCCTTTTCTGATGAGTTGCGTACTGACCGTCGGAAACATCACATCACTCATCGAAGCCTTCGGGCCTGTGACCTGTGAATACGCGATATCCGAAGCGCTACGCCATCAGACCACGGCACAGGAGTTCGCTGCCACCATCTGCGAGGAGATCTCCGAGGCTCGGTGCGCCGGGAAGCCTGCAAAACTGGCACATCCGAAGTCCTTCGTGACCAGAGCCAGGCAACCGACTTAAGCGTAATAGCGTAATGTCGTTGACGCCATATAAGTGCAAGGAAGAATCGACATGGAAGCGACGTCGCCCCGGGTCTGAGCAACCCCCGTCACACCGCGATCACACTGAGGGAAATCACTGTAAGACGGAAGTACTGCATGCACAAAATTCAGTTTCGTTAAGTTCAGCCAGACCCGAGCTGTGCGCCACTAGTCGTGTAGATAGAGAGCTCCCAGTTTGCCTGATCATTCATGGTTTTAGGTTGATCGATTGTCGAAACGTCTAGTAAGAAGAGGAGGGCTGGCAAGTTGGCAATGATGCCTGGTATCGCTGTTGCTGCGATGTTACTGCCAGCACGATGGGAGCCAATTACTCAGGTCAATCTGGGAATTCCGTTTATAGCTACCCTAAAACCTTATTCTAACCTCCAGCAGCCCTAGCATTCACGCAGCGCCTGTTGGTGATGTACTGCGGCTTTAGCGCAAGACGCCGTAAGACAGGCCAGCAGCCTGAGAATTCCATTTAACTTTTGCATTCAAACTGAGAGCTACGGTACTTATAAGGCTCAGGGTCCAGATGGTTCTCAAAGCAAGCTGTGTCAGATGTTCATAGAGAGTTCTCTCTCTCTCTCTCTCTCTCTCTCTCTCTCTCCCTTACGAAGGGACCTTACCAATCCAAGTCCTGGCACCGAAACCTGAAACCCTGTACCTCTGTGTGAACATGTCCAGTGGACGTCCTGGGGTCGGCACACAATGTAGCATCTTGTCGCTTCTCAGACGAGGTGTCGGAGGTCCAGGAGCTTTGAATCACAGCCTCTGGCATCCTAGTAGCAGTAGCAGTAGTAGCAGTGGCAGTACTAGGGGTCGTCGTCTAGGTGGTGGAAACAGTAGACGTAGCTGGACAAGTAGCAGACTGGATTTTGTTTACTTCTCGACAGAAGCGCCTGTGCCAAAACAATGTCACCAAAATCAGTCAGATCACCCCTCGCCATTGCTGGAAGCAATCGAGGGCTCTGTCCACAGGAAATGGACGCTCCTTCCAGGGATGGGATGGTTTTGGTAAGGTGGGCAACACATGTAGAGTCTGATTCCCCTTTCGTTTTAGTTTAATAGTTCGTTCGTACCGACGAAATGTGCTTACAATAATGCATTGGTTGCAGTATCCATGTCCATGCTATAGCCGTGGTCAGACGTGAACGGCAACCATGAACAGTGAAGGGCTACTTCTGCTACTGTTGATTCTTGTACCACTGTTGCTGTTCGTTCACGCACACACACGGGCGAACACGGTTGTTGGAGTCACACACCACTGCTCGATGAAGATGTAAACACCAGGCAGGCAGAGACTGTCCTGTTATCGGCATCATCAGCTTGCGTTCCGAATGCAGCTGCTACTGTTGTTCACATTGTTGTTGATGTGGTTGCCTTGCAGTTGCGGTTGCCCATTGCTATGGATACTCGTGCTGCAGCCGTTTCTGCTATGTTGCCAAATTTGCTGATGTTGATATGGGCGAGCTTTCTGGATCTAAAGCCCATCGGTGTCAATTGCAGACTGCAGCATCAAGCATCATTTACGACAGGAAAACAAAAACTGAGATGACGGCCCCGGCGACAACGACTCCGCTTGCTTCTACTGGTTCTACCGTCGCTACCAGCGAGAACCATTCCGATGATAATGAGAACGACACCAACCACACTAGCAACAACAAAAGCACGACACAACATCTGCGACGAGGATGACAAAGCCGGGAAAAAGGCAAACACACATCTTCTACTGACTACTGTGCTCCTAGTCGTAACATCGCTGCCGCTACTTCTGCGCTTGCTGTCGCGACGCTGCTGCTGCTGCTCCTCCTCCTCCTCCTCCTCCGACCGCTTACTGCTACTGCTACTGTTAGTGCCAGGGACAGTGCCACTGCCACTACGACGACGACTACTGCTACTACTCCTGCTGGTGCTCCTACTCTTACTCCTACTCCTACTCCTACTGCTGCTCCTACGACGACGACTGCTACTGCTACTACTACTGCTACTACTACTGCTACTACTACTACTACTACTACTACTGCTACTACTACTGCTACTGCTACTACTACTACTACTTCTTCTGCTGCCACCACTAATGCCTCGTGATTGCGAGCATGCCATCTCCACTCCTATCTCATGAGTTGTTGTCATGGCTGCGGGAGCCTTGAGCGCACCGAGCCAACGCCCGTGGTCGGTGGACCATGAAGCAGCTTGCAGTACCTCCTGGCCCAAGGGCTGATATGCCTATATGCACACACGGTTTTTCCTTTTCCAGCTCTTACAGCTTCAGCGAGCAGAGCAGGACTTTAGACCGGAGCCTTTAAGATGTAAACGCACGAGGCCACGATGCTCCAGAAGGCCTGAAACCAGTACAGCCCCCGCGACAAATCACAAACAGCAGTAAAAACCGCTCGATTATCCAATACGAGTAAAATACGAGATGAAGAAAGAAACATAGGCTCCCACGACCAAAAAGGCTCCTGATGAATCTCCACAAGACGGCCGGCCGTGCGTAGTGCCAGGAGTTCTCCGCAACAGAGCCATTCCAGCAGGCGCCTCTGACAGACTACTTGCGTTGCCAGTGACACGACGGTTGTGATGGTATCTAGCTTGACGATGGGGATGTACACTGAGCGTATAGAGAAAAACTATAGTAGCAGTGATGGCACTGCTATTAGCTAAACTCAACTGATGACAGCGATGATTATGAGGGCGACGACTACGGCGACCATGGCGGCAATGTGATAAGCGATGATGAGGATACTGAGGATGATGATGATGATGGTGAAGGCTCCGATGATGAACGGTGATGATGACGATGATGATGCAAATGATGTCAATGACATTGAAGATGATGACGATGAGGATGCTGCTGATGATGATGATGATGATGATAGTGCTGATGATGACTATGATGATTGCAGCTCTGGCGAACGCCGTGACCAAGATACCAAGTTGCGAACGACCACGAGTATGATGATGATGCTGTTGATGATCCTGCGCTGTGTTACCCTTTGAATCTTACACTTGCTGGTAGGAAGCTGCGACTTGTGGAATACAGTACTTGTTGTTGTTGTTGGGCGGATCACTTTGATATCGCTGCGTATTCGGAGCTAGCAAACAGGGAAACATGATCATCTCGTCACCATCATAACCTGACCACAGCTACGCTTGGATAAGATTTCGGCAACATTGCATAGACACAACATGACCCCGACACCCTCCCAGCCCTGAGCAATTACACCTTTCGAGCCCGCACTCTCGGCTCTTCACACTCTATGCAGTAAGCCCTGTAGGCCCCGAAACGAACTCTAAGCCATACCCTTCATTGCTTGCACCGCCATTAACGGGCGCTTGGCGGACAGCTGATGAGTATTGTCCAAGCCGTACGATACAAAGCTGAAGCTTCACTAACGATACACACTGTAGCAGCACAACCCTTATGAGCGAGTGTAGAATGTGACGTCGATAGCCTATTCCACTTCACTCGGAAACAACGCTCTACGCTATCTCGTCTCTTGTTAAATGAGTTCTTCAATGCAACAACGATTGGCAAGGCGATCACATCTAGAGAGATTTGCCAAGTGACATGCACACAGCTGCACGTTCTTAGAAATCAAACGGTGGTCAAAACGTAGGACGAAGGAATCACCTCTGTCCGGCATCCTTGGGATGGCACTGGCCTGCCGCACCCTGCAAGTGCTAGCTCCAGCATGGCTGCACCGGTGCATCTTCCGTGCGATGTCTTTCTGGGTTTCGGCTTGTCCGTTCTGGCAAGTTGCAAGGGATCGGTGCAATTATTCTGCAACAGCTGTACAGGAGCGCGAAATGCAGACATGAAGCACTAGCATGCGCTTTGCAAGTCCAGCGGCTCATCACTGACTTGGAAAGCTGCAGGTCGCGGCAGCTACTACGGGGCGAAACATGCGAATGAGGTGCCATCTGGAGAAAAAAACCTGAACAAGAAAATCCGACATTCGAAGGCACTACAGTGCGTGCCCTCAGGTTCTGTAGATCCTCCATGGAGGAGGATATGATGCAAGGGTTATGGGAGCTTCAGATCCACGGTCCTCATGCATTCAGAGACCCCCGCAACGAAGTACCAGCTTCTGATAGCCGGGCTTTTAGAACCCAAGGTCAACCCTTCGACTGCATAAGAAACCCCCCTCAGAAACTACAGCACCTCAAGACTTCAACAGAGATTTGGGAGATTAGAACGTAAATCCATTGCATGATTGATTGTTTCTTGGAAGTGTCAGGTGTCTAGTTTATGGAAGTCCCCTGTCTGATTTTTGCTTGACGGGCCTTCATTTACAGCTGAGGTCGCCACAATTGACCAGTGAGGGGAACATCCGCAAACCTGACGGGAAGACATCCAAAAAGAGCCTGCGTAAGGAACACGGGGACCCTTAAAAAGTTCAGCCGAGGCGCGGCTGCGGAAGCCGTCACCCACTGGCGAGAACGCCAAGACGACATGAACGTTCTTCTTGACCTGCAAAATCGAAGCTTGAACTACAAAAGCGTGGAGCACCGAAGCACGGGCGATGCATCTCGAGCTCTGCAGGCCATCTCTCTGTCGCACTCGCTCTGTGCAGAATCGGGCGGACCCTGGAAAGGTAGGCACTGAAGAGGTTGGCTTTGTTCGGCTGCATTCCCATGTTCTGACCTGACATTCGCGTGCTTAAGGACCTCTGTCAATCTCGTGGTGAAGTCACCAAACGCGGCATGCATTTGCGCTGATCTACAGACATGTGCATCAACTTGCTCATGTACCGCTTGCAAACGGGGATGCATAGAACAAGCGAGAAAGAAAGCGTATAGGTTGAAGAAGAGCGATGGAATAGAGAGAGGGAGCCCCAGAGAGAGAGAGAGAGGGAGGGCGGGTAAGAAAGGCCGAGTAAACAAGAACCCCAACCGTCTAGCAAACGCAAAGTAACAGCTGAGGGTGCAGCATAGTTGGCGACATGCGCCGGAGATGGACTCCATGTCCTGCAATCCAAGGATTAGGAAGTATGGTTCAGCCTTTGACGGATCATGCAATACCTTTTGGTGTCCAAGGTCTTCGATCATACAGCTTTGATTGAACAATAACATACACATAGAGACGCACACACACACACACACACACATGCATACAGACATGCTTACAAAGCAGACATGCGGACGCACAGACATACAGACCACACGGGGCATGAACCCTGTATTCAGCGCGGATTTCTTCTGAGCGCTTCGATGTGGGGTTCCGAGCACTGGAATTCAGCACTGGGCTTCACGCTGCATGCTGAAGAGTCAAGCGTTGCAAGTTTAGGGACCAGCCTATGGCAGTATGGCATGTACGGGACATACCTCGATTAGCCTCTGGAAACCTTCGGGTCAGCAGGTCCGAAAATCGTTGGTTGCCCGAACTTGCTGGGGGATTTGGGGTAGGGACTGCCTGGACAGGGGACTAGGACTAGATCACCTGTTAAGGTCCTGGGCCTTCTTGCGTTGAGGGCTTGGAAGATTCTTGAACAGAACTGATTCATCACTTTTTGGATACATGATAATTATGACGCTCATTTTTTGCGATAACTGCCTCTGTGCCGGTATCGTGACTCAGGAATAAACTTTATGACGTCGTACAAATGTAGATATATCGGTGCACAGATATGTATGTATGTATATATATATATATATGTGTGTGTGTGTGTGTGCACATATCAACATAACTGCATACATATAAGTAGATGATAGTAGATGTCTATCTGTATGCGTGTACAGATACATTATGGTAATAATGGTCGACCAGACATGCACGTTGAACCACCGCGAGTTAATCAGCCAGTCAGTATAGTGCTAGTAGTTGGCTTGGCGGTCCCGCCTCATTAGCATAGAGGTTCGGCACGTCGCCGCCTGAGTCAAGGCTTCGGCGGCTTGCATGTGCTGCCGAGGGCTCTCTGAGGCGGCCACTGTTCAGCACATTGTTGATGGCCTCGACGAAATCTTCCTTTACGATCTGTGTGTCGCCTTGGAGCATGAGCCACGCACGAGTTTTTGGGCTTTGGCCTGCTGGGATGAGAGATGTCTACGACGAGGAATGGAAGAATGTTTAGCAGTCCCAGGATGACGGGTTGACGCTGGGACGTGTTGCTTTTGCGAGCTCTTGCTCGGTGTAGTTTTCTCGCTGAGACTCGCCGTCTGCTTACTTTCTCTGAGGAGATTGCTTGGGGCTCGGGGCTGGGAGCGGTTCACCGGGATGCTGGACGAGGCCATGCTCGTGTTGTGGCAAGTGGCAAAAGAGGAAGACCTGCACTTTGTCCTCCACCCCGCACTTCATGAGGCACTTCTTAATGTCCTCAGCTCATCCACCGAGCACGGGCTACGTAACGCATATGCCTGGATGCAGTCTTGCAGTGGTGACAAGCAGCATGCCTGCAGAGTAAATTGCATCCGGGGGGCATCCCGGAACTCAGACATGCCATAGCCTGTCAAATCAGGTCCGCTCTCTCCGACCCTGAAACTCTGACTTCGAACACCTCGCTCGGAATCCCGGAAGTGGAGATAAAAGAGACCAAAGCATCAAACCGTCCCACCTTTGGCCACCTCGATCTGGAAGCACTCACACTCCTTGGCAACGAGTCTGGGAACAAAGACAGGATTTTACACGAAAGACCATAGAAGACCCCGAGCAGTACAGACGTCTAAACATAAATGCATATATACATCTGGACATGATATGATGTGATATGTGATGATACGGTATGGTATGGCACGATATGAAATGATATAACATACGATTCTATATATATATATATATACATACACACAAATACATACAGATACAACTACAGCTTCAGATACATATACAGATACATACACACACACACACACACACGCATCTACATATCTATATATATATACATATATACACATATGAGATATATTAAATTTATTAGATTTCACTGTGTTTTGCCATTGTATGCTGTATTGTGTACATTAGGCGCGGAGAGTTGTCCGATTCGTCTGGATGACTTCCCATGGCAGTATCCGATAGGCGGCGTAGTTGAACATTTCGCCTCGCGTCTCTAATGCTGCCTTCTGTGGACCACCTCTGCACAACAGAATGAAGAAGCCAAGGACGATATAAAGAGGCACGATCACTGGTCACACCAAAAGGTGAAGCCTGCAACTCAGGGAGTCTTTCGAAACAGCGAAAACAGTTCCCGAGCAGTGCTATTGCAAAATCCTCTCAAAGACGTGATCAAATGGAAGCCCTCAAGTTAAGCTTGTCAGCAAGCTTCGTTCATGTAGGTGGACAGCCGTGTCAAGCTTTGGCGCCCACTTCCACCAACCTGCCGCACCAAAGGGATCGAGGAGCTTCGGACGGCGAGGGATACCAAGTTGTGGGTCATGGGAGTGCCATTGACATGTCTGTGAAGTCTCTAGTGTGCATCCGAGCAGGCGCGGGTATTTCTCGTTTTTCCGATGTTCTGGATGTTCAAGGGCCGAAGGCTTGCTGACTAGTGATTAAGTACTTCCAAGGAAAACAGCTCTCAATTGCTGCTGCCACGAAAACTTGAATCGACTGCGAGCAGTTGACTCTCTAGCGCTGCCATGCTCCTTCGAGGAGTCTGCAGACACACATAACTTTGCCGCACTCACGCATGTATACGCATATGTATATGAACTGAAACTAAACAAACACTTACCGAAGCAGGTCCAAGCACCTCAGATATTCGCGAAACATATGCACGTGTGTGCACACTCCCTCGCTTGTACCCAGGCATACACATAGTTAGGCACACACAGAGAGACGTATTGCCTGTGCATGCTGATCCTTTGACATGTGCACATCGCCTGAAAAGCCCGTGTGTTTGGGAGGACAATACAAGCCAGAAACTGTCCGGTCTGAACTGGAGATTGGCAGTTCTTGTGAGGGGCCTTGCTGGAGCCTTCAACATGCTCTAGACTTCCGGACTGCAGCGTCTGGTCCCGAAGCAAGCAGACAGGGCCCCAAGGAAGCTGCTAATTTTCACACCTAATTCAAACGACCGAACTGCCGATACTGCCACCGTGCTGACCCTAGGGGTTTGGGTAATCTTGCGTGTAACGGAAGTTCACAAGCGAATAGTGGGGTACTGATTGGCTACTCACATACCTTCCGAACTTAGCTGTAGAGCTAGCAGCTAGCCGGCATGTGTACCGTGTTTATTTAGTCGCGACCTGGTACAGTGCCTTGTGCGGGTTCGGTACTAGAAACGCAAAGATGTCAAGATTGAAGGACTGCGAAAGGAAAGAGTGCTACAGCTAGGCTGCGGGCCCCAAGGAGGAGGACGTTGCCACTCGGCTGACTCAGCACACGACCTGGAAAGCCGCTTCCGGAACGCACCCAAAGCTCCCAAGGCAAGGCTGGAATAACCCGACACCCTGCAGCGCTTCAGAAAACTCAAGCAAGAGAATCCAGAAAGGCGGGGCTCATTCAACTTAACGCAAGGAGACTTTGGCACACGCTATCTTGACTCTATGTTCGCTGTGTTTACATGTAGAGATATGTATACATGTATGCATTTGTATATGTACATGTATATGTACATGTGTATATGTATATGTTTATGTGTATATATATATATATGTACATGTATAACACTTATACAATATGAGCGAGTATGTCCAGACATATATATATATATATATATGTATATACATATACATCGATATGTATGTATATATGCATATGTATATGTATGTATGAAAGTGTGTATATATATATATATATGCATATATATATATATAAGTACCTTGTATTCAACTCGCCCTCGATCCCCACCCCTTCCCCCCGCACCCGCTACTAAAGCCCCAGTTATCAGATTTCTTTGTGTCATAATTCGTAATGGTTCTCAGAATCGTTCTTGGCTTCTGACTCCCTCAACTTTCCTTCCTGGACTTTTCCCGTGCCATTTCTTTCATCTCTACCCTCCGGCTCACTGCCACTACTTACACGACAACCCACTGCGTGTTCATGTTCATATCGGTGCAACACCGAAAGTTCAGAAACATGCATGCGCGTCTAGCTTTGAACATCGACAACTGCAGATGCGACGGAACACTGGTCATGGAACTATTCAGCGTCAAGGAGAGGATCTGTGCTTTTGATTTTCCAGGTTGCTCCACGTCATAGAGTTGCCCGCAAAAGACTCTGCTATACCCGGCTTTCTGGGTCGATTGGTTAGAGCTTCATTGGTCTGGATGCATAAACCACGGGTGTGGTTTGTAACTTCGTGGAGTTCATGAGTAAATCCATTGCCGAAGTAAAGGAAAGCCGAAAGATACCCGAACATTCCAGATTGTTTCGGGAAGTCCCACAGGCTTGTAATGGATCTTGAAGCGAGGACATGGCAGGGGCAACAGGATTGCATTCCTCGCATATTAGTTTACGTCAGTAGAGCCGGATGCCCAAAAGATTCGGATTGCAGCGGCCATTAAACCACTAAGCGACCAGTAGACCTATCAGTGGGTTAAGCGGGCATCAAGAGGGAATCGGACAGGATGCTATGGTGACAACTGCTTCCTTGGGGTATGTAGTTCTGGGTACTGGGAGGGGAGAGCCTTTCTGCGGATGCATCTATGTGTGAGTCGTCGGTGCAAGAAACGCAGTAGGGCATGCACATATGCGAGCGCAGTGCTCACAAGCGTCCAAGAACATCACCAACGGCATCTGCAAGCTGCTGACCTTTGGCTCAGGGTTTGCGATTCATGGGTTTGCAAGTTCGCATAAGATACATAAGAGGGTTGATGGCTTGCGGACGTAGGTTTTTGGTGCGGAAATCTCTTGCTGTAGGCAACAAGGATATGCCGAACCGCGCATGGTGCACAGGCATAGTTTCAGCCCATGAGCTCAAGACATCGTAAGAGCCTGACGCTGTTGTACTCCTCCAGGTACTCTTCAATGCACTCTTTCATGGCCTTTCAAGCATGTTTTTGTTGCGCCATCTCCTATCACAACTGACACCGGTAGATTACGCACGTCTCAATCCTGTCGGACTGCTGACCTCTACCGTTGGTCTGCGAGCCTGCACCCTGCCCAGCCTGAATGTTGGTGACTTCTTCATAGTACCGCTGGTCAGCCTTGTTTCCACGCAGTGAAGCTGTGGGCTCCACTCATGCTGTCAACAACAGCATAGTGACTTCTGTAAACCTGTATGAGGCAACGGCCCTTAAGGAAGACGAAACAATTCGCACCGTGGATAGGATGGGCTGACTCCGGCTCAGGATTCGTAATGTGTGCGGTGATTGGCAATACTCCTGCAGAACCGGGTCGATGGCATCCTGATTCAGGAAGGAGGCGAACAGCAGCCTCTCACGCACGAAGATGTTCCTCCGCCAGCGGCGTGCTTCGTGGCGACACGGCTCCGGGGTTCCTGTATGACTCTGACTAAGTCGAACAAATACTGGCCTCAATTGCTCTGGGCAATTTGAAAGACAACCCCTGCGCTGCGGAATGCTTCGACGTGAAGACACGACAAGACATATGAGATAGTGTATGTATGATTCTTAGAAGTGGTCGAGGTTGCTGGTCTTCTCTTTCTGCTCCGGAATGCTCCGGATGCATGCGTGCAAGCATGTATGAAGCAAGCGGAGTTGCCCTACGTAGATGTCTGCATGTCGTGAAGCAGATTGCGCATTTTGGTAGGACGAGTGCAAGGCTCCCGAGGAACAATAGTGAGTGTAAGTTCGGGCTTGCTTTCGAAGGATAATCTCACTTCATGCATGCCTGTGTCAGAAACCAGCAAGATACTTAGGTAGATGATAGATAGATAGATAGATAGATAGGTAGGCAGATAGCTGGCTTTAGCTAGGTAGGTAGGTAGATAGATAGACAGATGTTACATGAAGAAACACTTGCCAGGGCCCAGACTCAACCTCGACCTGAAAGTCCTCTTCGAGACAGCCTGGGATCGCATCTAAACCGATTGTAGAGTTCCCGTTACTTACAGCACAGGTCACGGTGAGCACTGGTGCCTTACCATTCACTATATGAACCAACCGAGCCAGGAGCCCTGTACATGTGCTAGAACCGAAAACAGCAAGTCTCTAGGTTGCTTCCGGCACGATCCCGTTCCTCATGCCCAAGTCAGGAGGTTCGCAAAGCTCCACAATGGGTCGGAAAGATCAGGCTTGGAGGTTTCCTCAGGCACAGTAGGGTTCCCAGGTCACTGGCAGACTACTCCAAACGCTCTGGGCACACATCTTGTTGACATCGGGTCACGCACGAAATCTCAACACCATCGAGCAGCTTGTGATCTGCTTCTGCATCCAACCCGCATCTTGTTCATCTGTCAGGCGGTCCCCGAAGACCTGGCCATAAGAACCAAGCACATGTCTAGGCAAAGCCAAGAGCTTGAGCTGGTGTTTGGAGTCTCTGTAAGTTCTGTAGCACCTGGGCGACAGTGGCTGGGCCATCTAAAGAATCCTCTTCAGCCCAAAACCCTGCCCTACGATTTATGTGATCCTAACATGACCTGTGTGTGTAGCTGAAACGTGCTTCGGTAAGCTTCGGCTAGCGCCTGGCGACTTCCTGGCCATATTGACTTCTTGAATAGTGTGATGAGTGTGATGGGCAAGAGTCTGCTGAAGCCCCGGCCCCTCAACGGCCACTACGTCTTCACGCGTTTCCGTGTCGAGTTAGATCTCGTTTGCTGCAGAAGTGTACACAAATACATATGTATAACATATGTATACATACATATATACATACAAATATATACGAATATACGTATGTACACACCGACACAAAAGTATGGATTGATGCTCGCATGTTTACACACTTTCATTGTAAATTGATCATGTCTTTTCTACCACGCGAGTACAAACAGTGGCAAACACAGAAATAGCCTGTCTGATAATTTCCGCCGAGGTCTGTGTCAGCACTTGCCTCTGCATCTATGCGATACTAGTACAGACCTGCATCGACATGTACACCGGACAAGAAATGCTCGTACATTGGTAGCCTTTTGTAACACACCTGTAGCAGTCCATCTGGATGTCCATGTAAAATAGGTATGTCAACAAATGAACAAACTAACACAGCATGGCGTACTGTGCATATACATATCTACACATGCAATTGTTTATGTACCTACATACACCTGTATGCATGCGAGTGTCATGATGCGTACGTGGAGGCTTTCATAACTATGCACAACCAGAAAGGAACAACACGTCATGCAGCATTTGATGTGCAAGCAGCACAGATTCTTGAACAGGGCGCGTTCCGACGTGGGCATTGCTACCAGCCAGCATATCAACATCAGACCTAAATGGCTGTTTGACTCCAGGAGGGCACCCGCTGAATCTCGTGGCACCAGCAACGGATCACGATGTCCCGATGGTTCGCCTGCAACGAGGGGATGGCCCTCGGGTTTTCGGATTGTGAGGTTGGCCCTTCGTCGTATCAAGGTTATGGGTTTTACGGCTGCAGCTTCTAGAGATCAACTGTCAGGACCGGGACGGCAGGACAGGTCTCTGTGTTCCCGATTCGCAACGAATTATGACCCGTCGTGTTGAGGCGTCTGCGACACATGCCGGCTGTCCTACAGAAAGTCCAAGTCCACGGTAGGCCCCAAGCTTAGGCCCGATGCACCCTACAACGGGGTTCGAGTTTCTGGCCGACTGAGTCTAAACAGTCCCATCACGAGATCTACGATACTGCCATCACACTGCTCTCCCATTCCGAAAAATATTCGTAAATGCTTGCTGCTATTTTTGCACAGTTTTCTTGCGTGGCTAACTGTGGTGGCAAGATAAGTTGCAGGAATTATAAGACTATGCTGAGACCCATCGTGCTGGTCAGTCCCTTTGGGCACGGGCCAAGGATTTAAGCTTAGACGAACTCGGATTTAGAGTTCAGGGATTCAGAGTGTAAAAGCGTCTCATCTGCGCAAGGACTGATGCCAAGGCGACCTTCTTGGAGCTCAGAGTGCAAAGCCCGAGGAAGACCTGAGCGTGCCAAGCAGAACTGTCCAAATTTTGGTCGGAGAACTCAGGTACATGAGTTGCTACTGAGTTGCTGCTCCTGCAGCGGGAGCTGAGCCACCTTCCCCGAAACATCCACACGATTCCAGTGGATAACAGGATTCGGGGTGTGGACGTCAAGGTCCCGTTTGATTTCGGGGTAGTCGACCCTACCAGGACCCCGCACACGCCAGATGTCACGCAGGTTGAAGAGGTAGTGGGACTTGGCCGGGGTCGGCAGCAAATCCTGGCTGGCTCTCTGCAGAAAGCCGAAAGGACGTGTGTGAAAAGCCAGTCCTTCCAAATCTCACATATAAACCTCAAGTCCATGTTCTAGTGATTAATCCTGTGCAAGTAAAGTATTGAACGTATCGGAACCTTCTAGTCTGGGCGCTGTGGTCAGGAAGCATCGCAACTGACGTCGTTGTCGTGGCTGGCCGTGTTGAGAATGGTGCCGGTGATGCTGTTGCAAGCGATGCTGCTGCAATGCTGCAACATGAGGGTCTTGTCTCCAGTAGTGGTGCTTCGCACAACAACCGGTTCCCCATGTTCCCCCGAGTCCACAACAGGCCGGTGGCCAAAGCCTATGACAGCTGAGAAAGCCCGCAGGACAAGAACAGCGGTTTAGTACTTGAGCACTGGCAGAGGAAATCTGGCCTCCCTGATGGAAGAAGCCGGGCTGACTAGCTTTCATTGAAGCTCGGTTGCGTGCAAATGAACACGACGAGCACTGAGCATTGCTGTGGCAGTAGAACTGACACAAATCTGTTATTGCCAAGCCCGCTTCAGCTGCCATATCCTGCATGGGTTGGTCTACTGCCGCTGTGGCTGACTCTTCGGGTCTTTCCCCCTCCAAAAATTGAGGAAGGATCAGAGGGCAGAGGAAGCGTGCGATCCAATCCTGCAGCGCTTGCTTGAAGATCTTCACCGTGCTCATGATCCTTACAGCAACGGCAACCAGCGGCAACACAGGGCTTGGCAAAAAAAGGCTTCGGGGATTTGGGGTTGGGGCCGTCAAGCGCCTGCCTATCACACGCCTCCGAATCCCAGAGACGGCGTAATGACGAAAATCCTTGACAGCCTCCATCCCTTCGATCTTCTCAATCCGAGACAGCTACTTTGCTGGCATTGACTGCTTCGTGGTGTCTGCGCAGTAGGCGCAATCTGCTCGGAGGTACGCTCATTGCGGAAGCAGTCCATCCATGACACCGAGCAGAATCATTCATGCTGCAACATCTAGGATTATCCAGCATGGTTTAGACTTGGGTTTGTTATACAATGCCGTCCGCAGGAAAACGAGCATGACTGACACACCACTCCACAAGCGCCCCGCATCTTTTCAAACCCGAAACCCCAAACCCAATCACTTGTGTAGCAGCTCTTACGCACAAAACACAAGCAAATGCATAACAACAAATTTATGCGCACATACGTAGATATGCAGGCAAATGTAGAATGTAGCCTGCATTACATATATACAGATACATATACAAACACATATACATACATACATACATACATACATACATACGTACACATATACATATACATATACATATACATGTACCTATGCATATGCATATGCATGTACACATACATATGCATATACACATACATATACATATACATATACATACATACATACATGCACTTTGCGTGCACATCGGCAGGCGATATTCAGACTCAGTTGGCCCGGACACTCTAGAGGTGGCATCCGCCTCGTAGCAGACTGCATTTAGCAAGCGGAGAGCTAACCCAACGATCAAAAAGTTGCAGGCTATGCGCTCGCGCACAGCAAAGCCATTAATCATTAATCACGGCTTCGAAAATCCAGGACCATTGGCGAGTGGTAGCACCAGCATCACCCAACACCTCTGAAAAGAAACTCAAAGAGACTCGGTGTCCCCTAGGAGCTTACTCCCTAATTACCATACCCCATAGGATCACGTGGCAGTCCGAGTATTAATCCATATATACAGATACATACATACATACATACATAGACACATACATACATACATACATAGACAGACAGACAGACAGACATTACAGACATTGCAGACATTACAGACATTAGAGACATACATACATACACACATTACATAAACACGTACATTGCACACATGACATACATGACATACATGCATGCATGCATGTATGCATGCATACGTACGTTACATTAATTACATTACATGCATAATGTACATTCAGGAGGTGATATACATATATATATATATATGTATACATATGTATATATGTATATGTATACATGAATGTATGTGTAGATATACATACATACATACATACATACACACATAATGTAACCATAGACAACATTGCAGCGCATGCTTGGCACTGTCTGAGGCTGCGACATGCAAGGGATGGTTGCTTGGATTGACTCATCGAACCTGCCCGGCTTCGTGTTTGCTGACATCGTCGGTCATGTTGGATGTAACTTGTTGCTCTGTGCGAGGCCACCCTCCTCAGGAGGCACTCCAGGACCTCTAGGATTTCGACTGTGTGAGCAAACGGGACTGATGCTAAGTCGAGGCTGGGCATTAATGAGCCTCGAAGCCCCAAACCGATGGAGCAAAACATCCTTGCTTCGATCAGGTTTGCAAGACGGTTGGCTGCCTTCGGACAAAAGACCCCAGCCTCCCGTTTCCTGGCTGATCGCCATCCATTGCCCAAATCCCGTCCCGCAGGCAGAACTCGCGCAAACAAGGTACCCTCAAACGGAGCGAAATGACCTAATGCCGAAACCCTGAACATTCATCACTTCCGAGGGTCAAGCCCGGCGAAGAAGTAGCTGGCAATCGTCCGAAAGATCTGGGAGATGGATTCGTCCTGCGAGAAATTTCCACGGCCACGCCCGGCAGTCCCTTCGGGTTGAAGGGGGCAGGGTCCATCGGGGCCTCAAGGGTAGGTCCCGGACTCCTTCAGATTGACTGGTCTGCATGTTTACCTGATAGTTCTATCACTACCAGCAATACAGGAGCAGCTTCTTTGGCAAGACAGCGGCTCTGTGGATTCTGAGTTCGGGTCCCCTAGCTGAGTATCACACGACACATGACCACAAAAACTTTCAAGACGCACTGGCCTGGAGGTCCGAGTAAGCCAGCACCTGAATCGATCCAACGAATATCTCCGGGAGCTGTGAAGGGTCGGCGGAGGGGGAAGGATGTCTAGGAAGGGTAAGACCTAGCCAAGCAAACGTCAAGTGAACAACCACCACGTATCAGAATCTGTCCAAGGCGGAGAAGAAACTCAGATTCCGACATTGTAATGGCGTTTGAGACCTTGGCTGTCTGAACTTACATCGAAAATGGACCTTCAACAAGGCATGGCGTAGCGATGTGCTGTTGACCTGTTGAGTGTGGCAGCAAGACCTCTCTAACTCTGACTGGACTCCGCAGGTCGGTCGTTCTGAGGCCGCAGGCGCTCGGTGATGAAGGTGCCTCGGACGTACGAGCGGTGGGCGGTGACGGGCATCTAGAATCTAGCGAGTCTAGTCCGAAGAGCTCGCCCCCGATTCCCCAACCCCGACCCCTCGTGAACCGACAGACGCAGCCCAAATCTGGCCAAGCAGCGTCCACCGCCGGGAGGCCCCATAGCAGAAGCCATGATCTTAGTCATAGTATCTCATGATGCTAGGAAATGTTTATAATGTGTTGCACTGCACACCGTTCAAAGCATTCGAGGGTCAGGCATGAGAGTCATAGCAGCTGCAGCTATGCAGGTTGGTTGGTTTGGTCTCTGTTCGGGTTGCCGACCCGGTTCGTCAGGGTTGTCCGTTGCCACTTGTGTCATTCGGGTTCGTTTCAGATACCTATGTGAATCTCGGGTGCTTTTGCTAGCCGAACATAGTTTGCAGGTCTTCGGTAGCCTTTCTGACGAGGACCTGCAACCGCTCATGAGAGGGACTTGTCTCGGGATCCGAGGCCCGAAAGCACCTTTGCTTCTTGCATGGTGCAAGCATCCCTCAAACCTCGCTCCAAGAATGTCAGGCCCGCACCATATCGGTAATGTCGAACTTCTTCAGCTCTTTCCTGTCGGCAATGGGCTTGCTCAGAGACACTTCCACAGCTTGCCTTGCTTTTGCTACGAGTCTGCTCCTCATCATAATTTGGGAATAACCTGGTTTAAAGGGCGCGGGTTCCTGGCTGCAAAGAACTGACTCACCGAGGTCCTGTTGTACCAGCCGCCGTGGTCATGCCACTGCCGAAGCCTCACTGCTACTTATCTCCACAGCCCGAATTCCAGACGCGCTGAGTCAGTGGCCAAACAATGTCTAAATTTGCCAGTTGCTTGTGGGGTAGCAGGTGTGCTTCTGAAACTGCAGCCGTAACTAAGCCTGCGGCAGTTCGATGGGCGGCTGCGCCCCATAATATTCTTTCTGAGGCATATTCCTGCACTTCGGATGAACGCAAGCTGCTTCGTTTTGAGAGGTTCGTCCCGTGAAAGACAATAGCTTGTGCGTGCGGGGTCCTGCCGACGAACTTGCGATCCAAAATTTCTAATCGAAGTTCACAACACTAACGCACACCGGTACTCCACCCCTTCTACAAGGCCCGGTAAACATGCCAAAGACGCAGATCATCCACGAAGAGGACCATCTTTTTGCCGGCCGGTGGGCCGTATACTCCACGGCGCCTCGAATCGGCCACCCACTCTGGAAATACTTTCTTCTATAAGCCTAAGCCTAGACCCTGCCAACTCGATTGATGCGTGCCTCCAGAAAGGGAGCCGGGGTTATTCATCGTACACCCCCGCCTCTTCTCCAGTTTGCTGTCGATCAGGTCTTGGAACCTTCGTAATATTGAGCTGCGCGGGAGTCACTGTAAAATTCTCCTCCATCACCACAGGCGTTGTTGACTGGTACCGTAATGCTAGCCATCAACTGAGATCACAGCTGGTTGACATGCGTCTGGGCCTCGCCATTGACAGGCTCTCTCGCGACACAACTGCAGCCGTTGTGCTGAATGCGGACTAGTGTTGCCAATTGACGCTGGCAGAGTATGTCAGCGGCTGTGCATTGCTTGTCGGTTTGAGGGCACGTCTGTCTTTCGTGGGTGGCCCTTGTGGCTCAGCTGCAAAGCAGCGAGATGCCTGGATTGCTGCGCGCACCAAGAACTGCACCAATCTATAAGAACGGAGAAAGCAAGGCGACATCCAGCTTGGACACAGACCGAGAAGTTCACGAAGACGCCTGCCGGCCACATGCGGATTGCTGGTCCGAGACCCTGAACCACTGTCAAGGTACTTCCATCCGAGCTTGTCAAACCTGGAGACGGAAATGGGTGCAAACCTGGCTGCAATTCCACAACCTGCCGTGAAGAAGAAACCACTTCACTTAACAGACCGGCCTTGAAAGTGCTCTGGTGCCTGCTTCTGCAGCCACATGGAGATGTTCACACCTGGTTGGCAAGATTCGAGTGGTGCTATAATAGCCAGGCTGCCGCAGCGTTTTTCGCCGACTGGACTGCACCCGAAACTGTAATCCCTGAACCCGATAACCCACGGTGCTCCGCTGCAGTTTCGTGCAATCCGCTTGGGGCCCGGCTCTTGCCAGTTCCCGTGGGGCCGGGGCACAGGACGTGCTTGTCGTGGGTGATCAGAATCCTTACTTCCGCTGCCTAATTCCTTGATCAGTCCTTGTTGCCTGCTGCTTTTCTGCACTGACCATCATCATCACTGCTTACACTCGTCTTGCTGTTGATTCGACACCATGCTGAACCAAGCTTTTGCGAATCTTACCTTGTTTATCAATGTCCATGATTGTTCGGTCTCAACATCATTTTGACAAACGCCTTTAACCTGCTGGGGACAACTCATCATGCAGTAGCACATCGTATTGTATAATGCAGAACACTGTCAAGCAACAGCAACAGGACTATTGTCGTTTGACTTTGTAAGTACGTTGAAGTAAGACGAGTATAATCTACAACGCATATCACAGTCACACACACACACACACAATTTTGTAGACTGTTGCTGTATTTCATGTGGTGTTGCACTTCTTCAAGCAGCCCCTTTCTGCAAGTTCGTCCGAAGGCTACTGATGCAAGCTGTCAGGTGTTGGGAAAGGATCCTAAGCAGCATACTGGCATACTGCTGCAGGTTTAGGCAGGACTGCTGTCAACTGAGCACGTGGCTGGAAGGCGTAGACCAAGCGGACGGAGTCCACAGACGGAACCACCTGCCACCAGCTGGCAACTGCTTTCATGGTCGAATTGGTACAGTGAGGCAACAAGTGCAGTACTAGATTCACAGAACATGTGTATCCCAGCCCGCACATGGGTGCATATCCATTGGTCCATGCTCATATATATATATATATATATGTGTGTGTGTGTGTATACATATGTATCTGTATCTACTCTGTCTATGCGGAGCGGGCCAGATCGGGCCAACAGGGTTCCCGGTCTGTATATCCATGCTTGGATCTGCATTTTCATCTATATCCGTACCTAGTTAATTACATTTACATCTGTATCATTCTATGTTATCTATGAATACACATGACGCGCACAAACTATTGCATATACATGTATTTACATATTACATACACATACGCATAAGTTGGAAACGGTTGTTGCTGCAGAATCGAACGTGCGAACCCCATATATCAGCACTTTCCTCAAACTCGCAGGGCAAACGATCTCATCGTACTGTGCGGAACGGGGAATCTCGAAGGCAGGGATCGTCTCCATCCTGGCGCTTTTCACCGAAGCCGAACTCATCGATTTGTAGGGGCAGCGGGCCGGGCTTCTGCTTCCTGTCAGCCGGAGTCGGTTTGCATATTCAGGCACTGCTAGCCCAACGTAGGTCCAAGAGAAACGGATGATGCACGGGCTGCTCAAAAAGTGTGCGTTTCTTCAACCGCCGGAAATCAACCTCCAGCTCCTTCAAACGCACAAGTCATCTGTGGAAATAGAGGCAAAGCCCGCTTGAAACGGAGGACCCGTCTACGATTGAAAGCCATATGTACATACATACATAGCTACCTGCGTTCGTACATGCAAACCTACCTGCAAACAAATATATATATATATATATATATATATGCAAATGTGTACGTCTAAATACATGAGCAAAACCCTATAAAACATGATCACATACTGTCTTGTACTAGGATCCGTTCCTCTCATGCACCTATGAGACGCAGCTGAACAGATAGTCATAGATAATCTAAGGCCGACGCCAGGGAACCCACTGGCTCTTCTGTATGTCGTAGAAGTAGTCGTAGATGAATGTGCCGACATCCAGACCAGCCAGCCTCAGGGGCGCAGTGGTCTCGTGAGAAGCTTACCTAGTTTGCAAGTAACTTCATAGGCTTGTCTTGCAGACCGTCACATACACGATAACATTGATTCATGCATGCATGTATGCAGAACGCATGCGACATAGGTGGATGTGCTTGGGTGTGTAGAAACGGCTGTGGGTACCTCTACCTGACTCTGCCTATGCATAGACATATCTATGTAGACATATGTATACGCCTGTATGTATAATATACATATATATATATATACACACACACATAGGTGGATGGTTGTCAAAATTATGGTCCCTTGTTGGGTCCCTATTATAATACGGCACCCAATATGTAGCGCACCCAAAGATGGACCATAATTTTGACATCCACCCATGTATGTATACATACATATGTATAGCATATATATATATACACATATGTATACAGATGTAATCATATATTTCTATATATGTATATACACATCTACTATACTATACAAATGAGGAGCCGCTGCGCGCAATTGCTTTTGGGGCTGCTCACACTATCCCGTACCGATGCCCCTATCTCGTTCCCTTATCCTTAGTACTGGCAGAAATCCTCGATCTCGTTCGATTATAGTTCATACCAGCTCTTTTCAACTTGCAACCATGCCGCGGACAGACAGACAAACAGACAGGCAAACATGAAGGCTGCCATGCATACACCCATCCATCCATGCATGCAAAAGCGCCCCCGAAATATGAACAGCTACAGCCCACATGAGGGTACTACACTGCTAGCTGTAGCGGTGCTTCTCTTCTATGTTGCATCCAAAGGGCTTGATACCCTCCTGGACGGGCGGCAGTTCCACGTTCATGCCCTGCAAGTCAAGTCATGAGCTGCGGGCTGCGGGCTGCGGGCTGGGGGGAGTAGGCTGATAAGGTTGACTTCCCGGGCGGCGGACATCGGCCTGGAATCGTCCGAAGCGAGGTTCAGGTAACGAGCTAAGCCGTGAGTGGAGATGTCGCACTGACTGGGCATTACAGACGTGCCGACCATCGTGCGGGCAGTTGCCGCGCTGCAACTCGGGGCTGATCTCTCGGTCAGAGCTTCCATGACTCCGTATGCCGCATGCCCCGTGCACGGCCTGGACCTCGAGTTCGAGCCGCTCGTGCTTCTCCTGAGAGCGTCGACCAAAAGCTGCTCTGAGCACTAGCACGCTTGCATTACCACTGCACGAATCTCAGCCAAAGTAGTGTAAAGAGTAGGCGAGCCAAGACCTGAACAGTGGCAAGTACGAGGGTTCTTCCAATGGTTACCTGCATTATCTCAGGAGTGGCAGGAAGACCACCCCCACCCAACCGCAATCTGCGGTTGAGGAGCTAGATAGGTTGCATGGGTTAGGGTCTGGATACAGGAGTCTTAACCCCGCAAACCCCAAACACGAGAGCTAAGAGGGGAGTCCTCATTCAGAATGGCCCAGATCAGCTTGGAGAAAGCCGGCCGTGTGGAACCTTCACACGTGGCCCCGACGGACCACACCTAGGCGAGTTTGAAGGACTAGAAGGAACATGCCCATCCTGACTACAATAATCGGAGGATGAGTAGAAGTCGGCATTGCAACAAAGTCATGCCAACCGAAAGGAACAACTCCAGCAGACAAGAACAGCACGCCCCACTATGAGTCAACACTGTTTTCACGGCCCAGCCAGACTGATCATCGTAACCATAGTATCCAGAACTGCTGTGACGCAACCTAGACCGAGAAACTGCCAACTCCGATCGGACCTCATAAACTCGAGCGAGAGTCAAAAATTTGGGTTCCTTGACACGGGACGGTTGGCTGTCTGGCTAGGGGGTTCGCACTTCCGGTATTTTCGAATCTTAGGTGCCTGAGAAGCGAAGGCGATGCGGAAGGCTGTCCATCTGTTCTTGAAGCCGTCGGTGACATCTCTGGCTAAGTGCGCGGCCATCGCGAAGAAGAACAGAGGAGTGATGTGGGACACGAACTCGGCGACCTTGTACCGTAGTCGCTTTGCATCCGCACACCAGCCTCCAAGCCTGTACGACGTGCCATTATAAGCTGCAGATGCATCCTTGAGCAAAGCATGCAGCTCAGGAAGACGGCTTGCACTCGAGATCTCACATGCACAATGTCCATGGCGGCCTCCTCCTTGAAGGCAGCGGCCGGCCGCAGCTCCGTGGGCTGGAAGGGAGCAAAATAGCAGTCAAGCCTGGATGAGAGCGGTGCTACATGGTGTGGCTAGGTATCGACTATATTGGTTGCAGCGTAGTAGGTACTCTGTGGAAACCCTGGCAGCAGCCAAACAGAAACAATAGCAACAATTACTACAGCTGGCGCTGCGGTACTTACGACCAATACTTGTGCATCTAGCGTACTTGCGACGACGACCACCACTGTCCTCATGCTCCGACTCCTACCTGTAGTCGCTGCTGCTACTACTACTACTACTACTCCTACTACTACTACTACTACTACTACTACAACTACTACTACTACTACTACTACTACTACTACTACTACTACTACTACTACTACTACTACTACTACTACTAGCACCACTACGCTTCTACTGCTACTACTTCTACTACTTCTACTACTCCCACTCCCACTCCCACTTCTACTGCCACTACTACTCCTAGTCCTACAGTAGTCACTACTACTACTACTACCACCACTACCACTACCAAAATCACCCTAGCACCCTAGCAGACCAGTGTACCATCATCACTACCCCACCACCATATCCACCATATCCACCACCACCACCAGCACGACTACTACTACTCTTACTCTTACTCCTACTCCTACTCCTACTCCTACTCCTACTCCTTCCTACTCCCACTCCCACTTGCTGCTACTACTCCTGCTTCTCCTCCTCCTCCTGCTGCTGCTACCGATGCCTACGCCAATGCCTCCGCCTACTCCTGCTCCTGCTGCTATATACTAATTCTGCTACATACTGCGCGCAAGGGCCTTTGGAGTCCTGGATTTTGACGCGGAGCCGCTCACTCAGGCCAGGACATCCGGAACAAGGACTGCACCAGATTCGTGTCTTGCGTCTGCACCACCTAGCAATAGGTGATTGTAAGTTGGCAGCCCCAGGTTCGCTGCTACGTGTGGCTGAAGCTGACCAGAGACACTACGGAGTGAATTCACTATTCAAGCGTGGAGCTTCAGCTAAGGCAAGCCTCCTTGCAGCACTTCCGGACATAGGCCACACTGGCCGGGAGAAGGGCCTGACACACTCTGAAAGATCATGCCGTGTTCACAACCAAGGATTCAGGCTGATTAGAAGATCATGACAATGAAGTGGTCAGCTGAACAGGATTCTATGTGAATGATGGCCCTTCCACGGATGGGAAGGCTGCAACATGCTGACGAAGACTGACTGCCAGAACAGACCAAACATGGCACAAGGAACAAGCAGATGATGTAGACAGCTGACGCACGACATATTTTGCTTGCTTGCTCGATTGCAGAACTGCCCCTTGCACACAGAGTCTCGAGAAACTGCGTTTCAGCCGGAAGCTCCTAGTCGCTCATTGCACGACTGTGTGACAAGAAAGGGTCGCCTCGGAGTACTTTCGCAATCGTCGCTCGATATCTGGCCTTTGCACATGACCCGTGCTCACAAGCAGCGATAATGCGTATCAAGATAGCCCTGCTCTGGCTTGAACGGCAAATCTAGAATTTACAGCTCTTCCCTGCCTGAACAAGCTGTGTGTGGAGAGACTGATTTCCGCTGACAGGACATTGTCCGGGATGTTTTTCCCACTCTCCCGAGGGGCATGAGAAGACATGCACGAGTCAAGACCAGGGCCTCCCAGATCTTGAATGCCCACTGCCTTGTGTAGCTTTGGAAGGCAGCCTGGGGCCCTGTCACAGCCAAAGCCCACGACCCGTCGCCGGCACTCCAAACATTCGCGGAGCGCAGACGTCACCAGCTTGCCGTTGAAGCAAGCCCTCTCCTCGGCCGTGCGCTGCCGCACCTCGCACCTCTCCTCCGCCACTCCCATGGGGTCGGAACCGGCCGAAAGTCATCTCGCCCTCAATGACCTCCAGTGTCACAATGTCGCTGCTGACGATCCTCACGACGAGCTCAAGCCAGCCAGCTCGTACATGCAGATCGCAGAAGCGTGGGCCAGATCCATCGTCCTGGCCGTGGGATATGCTGATCGTACCCCCCGGGCACCGACATAAAAAGTATTCAGCATTCGACATGTACAAGAACACTGCGTGACCGATCACATGTCGTGCCACAACTTGCTGTGCTTAGGCACGCCCCTTGAGGTGGGGTAACCTTTCATTGCAGGAGAGCGTCCCTTCCAGGTGGTGAGGAACACCAACCCAAGAGACGGAATTTCCCAAGGAAGCCTCACCGGGAACGCAGGGTCCGGTGGATCAAAGCTGTCCGTGTTTGGGAAAGGTGAACAGTGTGGAAGTTGTGAATCCAAAGTTCGGGTCTTGTGCTCTCCTACCAGATTGAAACCCGATTTCTGGGCCTTTCCATTTCCAGGTTCCTGAGCAACCTCAAGCCGGTACCGCATCCATCTCGAGCCTGTATTGGGGGAGCACATCAGATGCAGAAGCCCAATGGCCTCGTGGTCTTGACAGCCAAGCAGAAGGGCCCACTTCCTGTCTTCTGCCGGCTGCGCCTGAATCTAAAGGGCTCCCGGCTTTTATGCCTTCCACGAATAGCTGCAAGGAGCGGCCTACCAGTTGCTAGTATTTGTGCAAGCCTATATACATTTCAATCTTTGAAGCTGATGCCTTCACATCCGGAACGGAGGGCGACTCACTGAAAGCGAAAAGCTCCAGGCCACCTTTCTCCAGCTCTGAGCACACGGTGCCTCCGAGGGTCCATCAGAATGGAGGGCTCCAAGGGTCTCTGCGCTTGGGAGTTTTTTTGAGCTTCTAGGGCCTTAGGGTTTGGGGTCTACAGTGGCTTTCGGACTTCGGGGCTAGCGCTTTGGGTCTAGAGTTGTTTGCTTTCGTCTCTGCTGCAACCCAGGTTCTAAAGACGGGTGCGGTGGCTTTCACGGCACACGGCTAGGGCCTACATAAGGATGATTAGCTCAAGATAGCCTAATAAACGTTGAGGCCTATAGTGCACAACATCTCATGTGAGACAGGGCGCTTAAGGAAGCTGCCACGTGAAAGTCCAAGTGATAGGCCCAGCCCATGGAGACCCGGAACGCACGGCCGTCCATGAAGGCCCACGCGCCCTTCCAAAGGCGAGGACTGGGCTGAGATTTTGATGGGAAGACCAGGTTTGCAGGGGTTGTGGAGAGGTTCGTGGAGATTATGGACTTGCAACACCGAGGGGTCATACCATGATCTGGTAAGCCTATATTTCATGAAAGTGCTGCCACGTTTATTGTCAAGATTCTGGCCGACACGAAGTCCAAACAAGCCCAGTTTCGCTTAAGGTAATCAAATTCACAGTCAGCTGGTAAGGATTGATACGGCTACTTATCTCGTGATTCCGGAACTCTCATGCGGTAAATAGTACAGTAGTGCAAAAACTCACTCGACAGCCGCCCTTAGAGCCCGCCGCATAGCCTCGGAGAGCACCACGGAGTCGATCCCGAAGTGGAAGGCTGTGCGCAAAATTTGACCCAAGCTGTGGCTTGAGCTGACCTTCGGCATTCCGTGTTTAAAAAGAACGCGTTGCTAGAACTGCGAGGGCGTACGATCTCCCTGGACATGCCAAAGTTCAATCGGGTAGGGACATGCAACAGAACTGTGTAAAACAAGTCAACGCGGTCATTGCCCACGGAAATGTTAATCTCTGGGTTTCGACTCTCGATGCTCAAGAATACCAGCAACCGCTTCGTCCAACATGCATCTGCAGAACTGGCTGCAGCAACAAGACCTCCGTTGCTGCAGTGCCTGATCTAACATCTCACAGGTCATGTCTGTCTACAGACTGAATGAAGTTGTACCCTCGCGGTGCCTGGTCGATCACCAAGAAAGGTGGCGACAGGTCATCCAAGCACTTTGACATGGGGTAGGCCACGACGAAGCGGCAAAAGTTCTTCCTGGGGCTTATTACTCGTGTAACTTCGCTCATCGAAAATCCTGGAACCGCACTGAGGCTGAGCGCAGCCGAAGCGTGTATCAACCCTGGGAGCTACGAACTTCCGCCTCTTTAAGGCAGGTTCGATCTGCGAGTTCCCTGGGTCAGGGTAAGTTTGGAGGTACTACGAGTAGCTTCTGAACCTACATGTCGTCTTCAGACCGAGCTATGAAGTCGACAGTGTTTGGGGTTGAGACGTTGAGACCGGGCCCGACCGGACGGTCTTTTCATCGGCCGAGCTTCCGGGATCCCTTGAGTGCCAGCTTAGCCTCGATGAGGTTCCCACGCGCTTTGAAGACGGAGGAAGAGCAGCGCAGCGAAAGCCTGTTGTGCAGGGCCCTTGATCCCAGGGACCACAACACTTTTGCCATAAAGCTTGGGTTATCACTTACCCAGGCCAGACAGCACGAAGTGCCTGTTGTGCTCTGTAAAGTGTTGGGGCACGGGGGGCTGCCAACACAGCCGGACAAGCTGCGATTTTGACGCAGTTCAGGGTCTCAGCCGACTGCTGAGCATTCCTAAGGTTTCGTGCCCTGGCCTAATCGATCTGACGCTTAGGATTTTCATCACTCCTTCTCTTGTAGGCTCTTGCACATTGGAGCCACACTACAACACGGGAGACTCCGGAGTCCCTGCAAGGTCACACCCGGAAGACCGCAGGGGATCTGAAATGAAAACATCGCAGAGCCGAAGCACTTCCCGGATCCCGGACCGGGATGCAGAACAAAATTGTCGGTCAACTTATTACGGCTTTGAGCCTGTAGCCGCTAGCCCAACGCCCGCAGCCCTGAATGTGGGTCAAACCCAGGTCTCTCGAACTGGGCCGGGGAGCCTTGTCTCGGCTTCCGAAGCCGACGGTGGCAGCAGCACGCTCCCGACTGTGACGCGGCGGCCGAGGTCCTCTCGTGACAATTAGCGAGGCCCCTTCGCAGCGCATTGACTGTGCGTAATGCGACGATGACGATGCGAATGACAAGAGTTGATGATGATGATGATGATGATGATGATGAAATGTGGCGTTGACCGTCATGAAGGTGACGATGACTATGCTGAAGACAGTGATGCGCATGATGCATTCTATGACCCTGCGCAACTCGAACGGCAGTAGATGTAAGAACGACAAGAACAGCATAAGTGTCAGCAGTCGCGGTACGTCGTAGTATTAGTCGTCGTCGCAAGCACCACAACAGTAACACTGCAGCAGTGGTCGCGACAGTCCGTACTTAATGATGCCAACATTGCTAGACAACATAAGTTGATTCATGCTGGAACCGTCTCCCTCTAAACAAACGAGGCGCAAGAATACAAAGCGGTAGCCACAGTCCACAGCAAGAGTGACACTGCAGTATACACGGGAAATCCACCTGCAGGAAAAGGACGCTTAGCCAGTCCGGGCAATCACTCGTCTTCGGACTCGGCAACCTTGTTTGACAGGTTACGCGCTGCGTGAAACTCTGACAGTTCATGTGACCGTTGGTCTTCCACGCGAACATGTCTTACATGGCCACATCTACTTGAAGGCCTTCCAAAGCTATGGCCACCGTCCCTTGAACCCCTATCCATCTCCTCTATCCTTAAGATTCCCTAGACCCATCCTTACGAAAAAAGGTCCGAGGAGTCCTTGGCCTGACTCAGCCGCTCCAGACCTCAAAAGGCCGGATGAGGGGATGTCGCGATGGCCCTGTGGCATTCGGGTCGTTTACATCGGCTGTATATATCATGGCAGACAACTCACGCTGCGGACAGTGCTCGACAACATGCGGCTCACCAGACATTCAACACGATTGGAAGTCATGTTTTCTGACTTGCTGGAGCTGTAGCTTGGACGTGCATCGCTTGAAGGAGTTATTCTTCAAGAGCGAAACCCACGACAAGAATGCAGATACAATATGTGTCTGCCATACCTGCTGACTGTCCAGACTTGCGAGTTTGTATGCTGCTAGTTTGGTTGATCCGTCCTTGCGTGCCGGGCGGCAGGCCCAGCTGTAGTGCACGTCACACTTGCACGGCGTGTCCAGAGCTAGGCCTTGCTCCGAGAGGGCCTTCGCCCGCAGCTCAGACTCCTGCGCGCTTCAGGCGGAAACTCTGGGACTTTAGGCAGTCTTTTGGCATTCAAGGGCTATATAGGTTGCGACAATGAAGAACACCAGATAACACCAGTGAAGGCAAGGCTCATACTGGAGCTGCCCTTTCTGATTCTGTGTGATCAGGTCAGCCCGATAGGGCGACAGGCGAGGGTCGGATTTGTAGTCCTCTGCGGGCAGGACGGAGGCCTCCCCGTCTGCGGCTTCTGCGCATTGTCTTGAAGCACCATAAACTCTTCCTTATCGTGGTACTGCTGATGCTGACCAGAAAACTACGTCGTACAAGAAGAACTCTGCAAGTCACCCTGGTACTGTTTTAGCCTTCATGAGACTGAGAATGAACAAAATTGAAAGCTCCTGGCATCAAAGCACCCAGGGTGCGACGAGGGCTGTGCCAGGCAGCCAGCAAGCCGAGTGCCAAGCGGCAGGTTGAGGTACCAAAGTCTAGGCTGCGCCCGCCAGGAGCAGACTCTGGGCCAATGAGGCCGGATGGGCACCGATGGCACCCGGGCGTGTGGCAGGAACCCGTGGCATGAAGATGTGCTTGCAGCATCTTGGAGCAGTCAGCCACGGCGTCTGCCAGGAAAGGGAGCAAACGCACCCATATCACCGCTCTGTACTCCTCGAAAAAGGCGGCGGCAGTTGCCAGATGTGTGGGCAGGCCGAATGCTGCGAGCTTAACCTCTGCAGAGACCTGTGTTGCTTGAGGCCGCAAGTTGAAAGATGCTGAATTGCCGGCTTCTTCTCAAAAGTTCTTGCACCCGCCACTGCTTTGGGCTGATGTGTGATGTGAGTCTGGATAGCTGCACTGAATCTATCTGGGAGGCTTCGAAAGAGGCGCGCCGGGCACATGCGAGTTCCAGCACAGGGAGCACTAGACCAGAAAGCACAAAGCGCAGCCTGGCTGGATCTACGACCCTGACATGCTTCGAAATCGAGACACCCTTCGTTCAACCTCAAACCTTTTCTGACAGCCCCTTTGAACATCTGCAATGGGGCCCACACTGAAAGTTGAAAGTCTCCGGCAGCGCGGCAAGCCAGGAGTCAAAGAGAGGCTGGAAGCCTGTTCGCGGCGCAATCCAATGTTACAAGTAGTTGGGCGTCGAGGGAAGCCGAGGGTTCAGGGATGCAGGGTTTATACGTTGGACTGCCACGGCTTCAGTGTTGAGAGTTCAGGGATTCTGGTCGCTTCCCCTTGGAATTTGCCGGCATGGGATTCGAACTATGCACGCCTGGCCAGTCGTTGCTGCCAGTCGGTTGCTTGGATACAGTGTTGAGTTTAGCCGTGCTCGTTCATCCGACTGACTGAATTGAAAGGAGCTGGTTTACCAAACTTCACTAAGACCATGAAGCTGCTCCTGTTCCCCGGACGGAGTCACTGAATCCCAATGCCGGCCTAAGCTCTCCGGTTCCATGTAGATCATGCCTGGGCCCAACAACGACGAAGTACTGGAGCTTCGGGAATTCAGCTAGGCGCATCATGTCAGGTTCACGTCTCCAGATAATTTTCGGCGCTCCATGAGCGTTCTCCCTGAATTCCCTTCGTCCCGACGGACTTGCATTCAGCTCAGGCTGATGAATGCGTGACACATGTTCCCATATTGTTGACTCCGGAACCCCGCGAGCGCAGCAGGCTCCAAGCCAATGAACGCTTGGACACCTGCAGTGGGCTTCGGGCAAACACCCCGACAAGGCATGCCAATGCATCCATGCTGCCGCAGCGAGAAACCGTAGCAGGAGAAGCCACTTCCAAGTCCTCTACAAGCGGAGCAGGGTGCAGATCGATCTTCAGCTGGCTTTGCTCCCTCTGCTCTAGCTTGGGACCTTTGTGGCAAACTTTGTGGACACTTCGACTTGTGCGTGCTTACCTCTTGACTTCGTCGTCTCAGTCACAGTTCAATGCCCTGCTGGCTCCGTGCCTTGGATCCTTCAAAACGCCGCAAGATGCGAAATGATTTTCGGTGCTGCAATCTGTATACAGCATGAAGCTGGAGCCCAGCATCAAAACCTGAACGTCGAAGCCCCCCTATCCAAGCCATCCTCGACTTCGAACATCATGCGCATCTGTGGCGTGAGGGCCTCAGACTTCGTCACCAGATCTATAACCAAAGATGACACAACTCCTCAGAACTGCTCTAACAAAGGGCTTAGGTAAAGTTACCATAGTGCGGTTGTAAGGGTCAGGTGCGGTTAACACAGGGAACAGTATTATTAAGGGTACCATGAGGGGTGCCATGCGGGTTACCATAAGAGGTATGATTGTAGAGCTATTTTGGAGACTGGGTAGGAGAACGGGTGCTATAAGCCGCCCTTTTATGGCTCGGGGTTAAC